GTTTATTTCTAATCATTTCTCAGTTCACATGCAGATAAGCATGTGAACTGAGACAATTTTTATACTGCTTCTAAGATAACTATAATAGCAGCTATTTAAATTTACTCAAAAAACAATTTTACATTGACATAGTTTTAAACATATATGACATATATGGCAACATTTCTGCTAACCTATGTTTGATTTTTTGCCTAATTGTTAATTTTACATTGTTATAATTCTCTTCCGATTCAATATAATAATTTTTTTAAATAATTTTGTAATTTATACTTATATCTATATTACAATTAAATAAATGTATGTAAGATTGTTACCTTAATTTTGACAAAATAGCTTTACTCAGAGTACCTAATACAGTTATTTAATTTTTCAAAAGTGTGAGTAAAGGAAGCAAGTCTTTTTATGCCAATTACTTTAATGTTTTATACTATTATATTTTATCTAGAATGCTAATTTAGCACAAAATCTAATCAATAATTAGTTTACAAAAGGATACAATAAGATAAATAACTTTAACAAGTACTTAACAAAATTAGTTTGTTAAATACTTGTTATTCTTGTTGGTGCTATTCATAATACCGAAGATATTATCGATTAACTCATAGAAGTCAGATGCTTTTTGATTTCCTGTGGGGTGGAGTATACCTTTTGCGGCACTTTTTGAAAATAATGTTTTCTCTGGAGCGACGTTTTGTCTCTCGTTTCCCTTGACCATTAAATAATTTGGTTTTAGTTTGTGACATAATTTGATTTCTTCTCAATCTCTATTTAAAACCTCTTTAATAATAACAAAATTTAAAACAGTTCCATCTTCTAAAACATCCTTTATCTAAAATGTGGTTTCTCAGTAATTTGAGGCAGAGCGCTAAATGAGACCTCTGATTAAAACAAACTGCACATTTTGAAAAGAACCGAGAACTATTAATGCCAGTTTAGACTTTAGAGTTAACTACCAGTTTAGAGTCATAGCAGAGTTTTCAATCTATATGCATTTTGTCGAAACTGAGAACGCATATTTTTTCTACAGAATACAAATATTCGCCTCTTTCCTTCTTTAGAGTAAGAACATCACTTTGAATTCTTGGACTACACTAAAATTTAGCGCACCATTTCTTTAATTTGCTAATACTAGGTAAAGATATTCCAGTTTTTTTCTTTCCAAAAATCATACCTTTAAGATGACAGAGCTCTTATGACAATGCAACGTGAAATATCTTCACTAGTCCACCTGATTTTTTCCTTCTTTTTCAGTAATACATTAATCTGCGTCTTTATAAAAATAGGCTTTAGACATTTTTTCAAATTCTCTGATTTGTGCTTCTCCCCCCCCCAAAAAAAAATTTCGCTATTTGAGATTTTAATTTCTGATACCAATTTCTGTCTAGATGTCGTCCACCTTCGTTGCCGCTGAACAAACATTCTAAAATTTTTCTTTTCTCTATTTTTCAATACTTTAATACAATTTTCTAAGGATATTATTTTGTTCTTCAAATTATCAATACATTCTTGTTTATCCTTAAACTTAGGGCATTCAAGAATATCTATATTTTCATTTGTGAGTTTTATTTCAAAATCATTAAAATTTGATTTACTATTATCATCATCAATTTCGATTTATTATTGTCATCATAATTTACTTTCGGCACAGCATTCCATTTCAACAGTTTCTTTTTGTGGCTATCCAAACAAGCAATTTTTCATATCATCTTCATAAACACTGCATAGAAAATGTTCCCTGCAGATTTTTCCGCTCTTCGCATTAATAGAATCTTGTCTTTAACATTTGTGTATCCATTCTTTCGTCAAAAGCAAAACCTTATTTGGATCCTTTGGTCCCATGAAATAAAATATCTCATCCTTTCATACTTCTGTAAGTGCTACGGCAAGTTACTACAGCGCAAAAAGCCATATTACGTAAATGGTACTTTACAATATAGAATTTAAAATAAAAACTGACTAAAATTACATATATATAAATTATTTTAAATATATACATTATTAGAAAACATATATATATATGATTAAAATTAATTTGGGATATGTAACCTCTAGAAAATCGTCTCGCAGCTGAATGAAACTACAGTTTTACGCGGGAAATCAGAGCAGTTGGCATCACAGTGATGTCAGATTACTGCCTGTTAATTTTCCCCATTAGGCTCGCGTCGGTGAGGAGTCGAACAAAGAAATGAGCTAGCTCTTTCTATTTATCCCTGGGATTTGAGGTCCAAATTTTAGATCATTCCGGATTGGACGTCCAGATCTTGAGCTTTGTACTGGAGTAAATTAAATGTTAGTGGTCATTTGTAGCTATCAACTGTAAAATAATTCTAAAGAACTGAAATATAAATCTAAGAGCTTTCTTTTTAAGTATTAGTCAATTGCTAACTAAAATTAAACATGTATTTCTATAATGGGAAACAATTATTATTTGCTTTTATTAATTTTTATTTTATTTGTAGATGTAAATTGATTTTAATTTATCTTTAGTGTATTTGTTGATGCCTCTAGCAGTTATTTCAATAAGATGACTTATAATTTGTGGTATTTTTTATAGATTTAGAGTTCTGATGTTTCATTGAAAGCATGATTTTGCATTGAAACTTTTTTTTTGTTGTTGTTCATTCTTCTATCTGATGCTTCATTCAGACCGATTGTATACAATTTGTATAATACCATTTCATTTATTTTTAGTACATTTGTTGATGCCTTAGCTAATTATTTCATAATTTGTGATATTTTTTACACAATAAAAGTTCCTATATTTTTAAGTGTCCTGTTTTTTATTACAGTCAAAGCCATTATATATTTCAATAGTTAGTCCCTATTTCATACATAACATAATTATGCTATACATTTTGCTTTTTATGAAATGCAATGGAGGGAAACTTTTTAGATGTAAATAATCTGATTTAATTTTTAGAGTATTAATCCAGAGTTGCATAACTGGTTTTATCTGGTCACGAGATTTTTTTTTTTTAACTTGGTATATATAATTGTTTGTAATTTTAAATATTTTGCTTTCCTTCTTGTTTTAATGACGTAGATATAATCTTAGTGAATGGAAGTTTATGAAAGCAGAGACTAAAATAAGTAACTGTATAAATTTAGTAAATAAATGCTGTTTAAATACAAGTCTTCATGAGCAGATCCCAAAACCCATATCACTTAGAGGGTAAAATATAAAATCAAAATTATAAATAACTCAAATTATTATGCAGCTCACATAAATGTGTTTTTCTTTTGCCCATTTTGTACTGTTTCAGTACATTTTGCTTACTTCTGAAATAATGATAAAAGTTACTTAATGGATGTAAGTTGGCAGTTTTGGAAACTTTTATAAAAATGTTTATTAAAATATCAATATTTATTGCAAGTTAGTACACATTATCCAGCATATAAAAAGAAAGCAAACTTATTTAATAATTGTTTTTAAATTGGTTAAGTATTATGCGATGCATTAAAAAATGAAACACTTTGTTATTCTTCCCATGTGCACAGCGATCTGTTGATACTAAAAAGGAAATCAGAGAACTGCGCAACCTCAGCATTTAACACTTACCTTTTTTGAGAAACTCTTTAGTCATTTTTCTGTGCTTTTGGTCTTTCCATGTGCACAGTGATCTGTTTTTGCTAAATAAAGAACTTTGAAGAATTGTATGGACTCGGCATTGTGTGCTCGCTATGATTGCAAAGGATGAAAGTAAGGTTACCAGAACAAAATCATTATCTAATGATGAAATCACCAAATTTAGCGTGTACTCGGTACTTCACTTTAGCTGAAATAACTTATAGGGATATATTTTATAAATCAACTTATAGGGATCTTTAAAAGTATTTAATAAATATATATTTTTTTAATCTAATGGCATTCACTTGCCTGTCCAGCATTGGCCACTCCTAAGGCCAGAAGTGGTGCCTATTTTATAGTGGAGGCACGTAATAGGCAGCCACCGTTGCCTCCTATTAAGGACGGACAGTTACAACCATGCCTTCTCCGAGATTTGAACCCGGGCTCTTTGATACTGCAGCATCCTCCCCTAACCACTATACTGTCTGGATGTCTAAATAAAGTAATGAAACACTTTTAGCTTATCAGTTTTCATGTTTTTAACATTGTTAAAAGCTTCCCCTCCCCACTTGTATTTTAATGGAAATATTTTATTGTATGCAATAATTCAGTATAAATGGATTTGACTTTATATATTTTATACTTATCTGCAATAATTGGCACACTATATATACCTGTATTCCAAAAGCTGTAAATAAAGTTTTAAATTATGAATCCATATCTTTATGGGAAAATGATTGTTATATGCCTATAATTCTATTTCAGATATAAACAGATGATTTTTGTAATTTATAGAGCCATTATACTCAGGTCAAAGTGAACTCAAAAGTACTTTGAGAGATACAAAGCGATATATTTTAAGTTTTAGTAAAATGCTTCATTCATTAAAAAACATTTAAAAAATTGTCATTCGATGAAAGCAACATATAAATTAAACACTACATTTTATATTTGTTCAGTTTTACACAATTTCTTTATTAACTCATATTTTGACATCAAAGTTCATCAATGAATTTAATTTTACCTCAGCTGACTTTTACAATGCCAATTCATTACAGTAAAATTTCTTTTTTAGTGCATATATTAAAACTTTAATCCTAATCAATATTGTATTTTATTAAAAACCAATATTAAGTGTCAATATATTTGAGCAAACTGTAACCACAAAAGTACCTTGCAGGTACTTTAGATTTCACATAAAAATTAAATATAAGTTTAACTCCCCCCTTTTTTGATACTTTTATGACTGTTTATGTATGTTTTGAAAAATACTTAGTAAGCAAAATTTATTTGAAATATTTTTCAAATTTTGTTAGAAAAAAGTCGCCTGTCAGCTGCTTTCAGATCACACATGCAATCCAGTGAGCAGTCCAAGTTTGAGACCACTGTAATATTTAATTTAAAAATGTGATATATTAAATGTTAAAATGAGTATAAATAAAAAAATAATATTTATTGCATAATAAAGCATACAAAAATATATATCTATAAAATTCCTGGTTTATAATTTTCCTAACATTCCTTTTATGTAACACCAAGCTCTCTGCACCTGCAATGGAAAATACATGCTCAGAAAAGATCTCTTATAAAATTGAGCTAAAATTTAATTAATGATGTAAAATTATTCAACTTGCAATAAAATACAATGGATTCTAGAATACTTTTATTGTGATACTCATCATTATATTAACACATTCATGTTAAGCATTTCTAAATTTATTTATATTTAAGGAAGCAGATTTTAGAAAGATAGATTTATCAAATTTCAAAGAGTAGTTTTTATACCAACCTTAGTTATTGTTGTTTCGTAAACGTAAAGTGGTGGCATAAAAGCTAAACGGCAAATTTTCCAGTAAAAGAGTCACTTGAGCACTATTTAGTGTTTTATACACATCTTGTTGATTGTTACCTATAACTTAACTATAAAGGTCTACATTTCGTATTTTAATGTTTATTAAAAAATGGAAGAAGGAAGATTTTTTTTAAATTAAAAAAAAAAAAAAAAAAAAAAAAAAAAGAGGGGGGGGGCTCATATACACATTACACATGGGGAAAATCACAAAAGTGCCCATTCACTCAGCCCGTTCGAGGGATTCGAACCTTGGACTAAACTACCAGTGTTCAGTGACTTTTACCGTTCGGCCGCAGGTAGCCCAAAGAACATGAGAGTTAAGCTTAAGGGGGAGGACATCTTTGTGAAGGATTTTCTAAGAAAAAATGGCTTTATTCATGTTACACATGACAAAAACTATGAAAACCAACCCTGTAGCCGACCTGTTCACCTAGTTTGAACCTGTTTTTTTGTCAAATGACCATTATTCAACAATCTTAACCACTTCGCCACTTCTCATAGTGTCGTCAACAATCTATGAAGTGTGTTTCTCATCGAGACTACAGTTTCAAGAAGAGCAGTTCAGTTATATTCTTTTGGTGATTGTTTTTTTTTTTTTTTTTTTTTTTTTTTTAGCCCTTTCTGCCAGAACAAACTTATTTGCATCTCCGTTTGCTGTACCTTATTTTGTAGCACCAAAAAGACAAATATCCGTTTCAAGAGAATAAGGCCTTAGGTACAATATTTATTTGCCAAAACACCTTCTGGATTGGCCTCACTGACTTTGCAAAGCAGTTTTATTACTTCAGATATCACATATAACAGAAAACATGATATAACAAATCAACATTCTTGAAAATGATTCCTTTTTCTCATTTAATGGAGAAAATACATGCTGTAATTATTATTTTGTGTGTCAAAATCATCTGTATTTTTTTCCTGTGTAAAGAGGCATATGTCCGCATTCCTAGACGATGTTCGTTAAATGTTAGTGGCTATTGTTCTACTGCCCACCTCTTACCAGAGCTTAACAGACAAAATTTCCTGACCTAACCTGTTTCTTTGGATTCGTTCAGAACCCTTTATGTAGAGGTCAGGGTAGGAGGAGAATCTTTTGTTTATTTGTTATAAATTTTCTTAGAAAGACAGGTTTTCCAAACAGAAAAACCAGTCTTTACTACAGATTCCAGAGAGCTGTGTCAGTTATGCCTGCCGTGTAGACAAGTTAATGTGCTCTAGTTTTTCTTCCTCAGTGTGTAGTGTGAATGTGTAGAAATTAAGAATGTCTACACATGAAAAGTACAAAACTCTTAACTCTGGAGCCAAAGGTAGAAATTTTAAAGAAAGTAGAGAATGACAAATGAAAAAGAAGTTAGCAGCTGACTATGAAATAAAAAAAAAAAAATACCTTGTCAACTTATTTGAAAAGAACGCATAAATTTAGATTCTTGAAAAAAATCTAAATGCTCAAATGAAAAGCTCAAATTATTACTAATTTGAAAGTACCTAAAATTGTACTATACAGTACAAAGTCTGTAATCCGGACATCCACATCTATTACCCGGAATGATCTATAATCTGGACTTCAAAGCCACAAACTTTACGCATGCGCGTAGAGAATGTGCATACATTACACATGCGCGTAATGTATGTTTTACGCATGTGCGCATTGAAAGAAATGTTTAATAAAGTAAACAAATGAATATTAAGCTTTTTTTTCGGTAAAATTTTATACCCTTTAGATCACAATTGCTCTTTATTTCATAAATTATGATTTCATATTTTTAATTGTACAATTTCTGAATGCCATCTTACCAGATTTAAACTGATGATGTATAATACGGAAAAACCCCTAATCCAGAATCGCCAAAGTCCCGACGAGTCTGGATTACGAACTTTATACTGTATTCCCTTTTTAGTGTTTCAAAAAAACTTCTTGATCTTTCTTTTATTAAACAAATTTCTAAATAGTAGTAGTTATATTTTAAATGTAAGTTTATCTAAATGCAGAAAATTAAATCTTTACCTGTTGTTGTGTATAATCAGTGGACCAAAGGTTACAAAATATAATATTTGATTCTTGTATAAGTTCTTCATTGGATGGCACAGATTTCAAAATATTTGTAGCAACATCTTCACTTATGTTATAAAATTCTTTTAATCTTTTAACTGTCTAAAATAAAAGAAAATTAATTTAATAACTATAAACTGTTTTTAATCTGAAAACAAAAGTAAAACTGACTAAAATTTTTTTCAAATCTATTTCAGAAAAAATATACATATGCATCACATATACATATAAATGAGATATATGCATACACATATACATATAAATATACATCACATCAAAAATCACATAAAATTAAAAATTATATTTCAATTTTTTTCACTTATTCTTAAATACAACCGTATAACCTTGGTACAGTAGTGTAAATATAAGAGTTTAAAATAAAATGTTGAGAACTGTGATATATATAAAAAAATAAAATAAAAACCCTTGAAAAGTTTAATTTTAATGGTTGGCCAAATGGGTTTGCCAAGTTTTTTAGGCTCTTGGTGAGCTTGGAATCTACTAATCTGCAGTAGAACTCACACCTGCTAACCCACTTTTTTTTTTTTCTGTCTCCTTGAGCTTTATTATTAAGTACCATTTTCTTCACACTTATACCACATACAATTCAACACCAAAATCACAAATATTCAGAATCCATGATGTAATGTTAAGTCTTTGTATACATTTTTTTTTTTTTTTTTTTTTGTCTTTTCTCAGTTTGTTATATCAATATTCAGTTTTCTTAGTAAGATGGCTTACAAAACAATTTTTTTTGTGTCTTTTTAGTATTAATGTTTTGTGTGTTAACTTTATTTATCAAATATCTCATTCTTTGCACTTAATACTATATAAAATTCAGTTCAACAACAAAATCATAAAATATTTAAACGCAGCACAGCTTTAGAATTTCCTATAGACAAGCTTTTGTGCTGAAAATAAAAATGTTTTATTTTGAACAATAAATATTCAATATTCAGTTTTCTTAGTAAGTTCTTAGTAGTTCTTCTCTTTCATTATTTGTTTGCCATAGTTCACTTTCAAATCCCTCAGGTGTTAATAAAAAATTTATTATAATTTTACAAAACATGAGACAGATAATAAAACAGATTCGAAATGAAAAATTCGGGCTTCCATGGCATATGTTTGGGCGGAGAACTACGTTATTCAAAATTTGATGGCTCTGGGTAACATCTTTTTTTCACAGTGCGAGGAAAGTGCATAAATTTATGCAGATTCTTCATTATATAATTTCTTTAAAAATAATACAGGGCAATAACATTTGGTGGCATCAATTTGAAAAGTGAATCGCTGTTTATAGTGAACAGGACTAAAAGCCCCTTTATGCTTTATGCTAAAAAAAGGCTTTGAATTTCTTTGAACCTTCTTATCGATTCATTGGAAATTGCGCATGAGGTCCATTAGATAGCTTTGTTGTCATATTGCAGTAAAATAGAAGGCAAACTGATTTTATCATGAATTAGAGATGCATAACAGAATTCCTTCACAAAAATATATCTATATGTTGAAATTCATTAAACATGATGAGATCAAATCATCTCCTTATGTCTGATAAGCATAGCAAATCAGCTGATTCTTCAGGTATAACATATTCTGATTACATAATTCTGTAGAAAGAATATGCTTTTTCATGTGTTAGAGGACACAATTAAGAAACTGTGTAGCAGGTGGGCACCAAACACTGCTGATAAATAACCAAAAGTTGTGTGAAGAATTTTATATAAAGTTGAAAAAGCATATTTTCACTTTACACATTTTAACATATTTAAACATAACAAAGTATTTGTAAACCTCATCATTTTTAAAAAGCAGAGTGGTGCCATTCAAAAGTATTATGTTAACTTGACTTGAGCTACTGGAAACTTTGGTGGTGGTTGGTTTGAGTTGCAAAGTAAAATAACTTATAAAGAAGGGAATTTACCATGTTTCATTCGATAGATTGACACAGACTTCTGTTTTGGACAAAGGTTCTTCTAAAACATGGAAGCAATTTGTTGCAAATTGAGTTCAGAAACTGCAAGGTAGACAAATTCTGATACTTGTTTTGTTGTTCTGGAAAGGTCAATCCTTCAGATCTTTGCTTACAGGTCTTAGTGTTGAATCCTTCCTACATAATTAAAAATGGTAACTGCAAATGGTTTGCCAGTCTGACAAATTGGCAAACTTGCAGAAACTGTTCGTGACTGTCCAATATACCAAATGAAGAAGAGTACCTACCAGAACTGAAATCTATGAACTATAAACAAAATATCATCTAAATTTTAATTTCTAACATTTTTGGATCTACTTAATTGTAGTAATAGGTTTTTAACTGTATTGAAAATTCTAAGTTTTCGTTTAGGATTTATATATAATTCTAGAAACCCATTCAGCAAGCAATGAGGTCCCTTGAAATCTGATGAACTATCAAAAGCTGAAGAATAATTGATACATCAGTTTCAAGGCAGTTAATTTTCTGCAGAAATGGCAGCAATAATTTTTCCAGTAAAAAAAGATTTTAAATTGATCTCCCTTTTAAAGTCAAGGTTAAGTGGTAATATTTCCAGTAAAAGCAAGATTTTAAATTTATCTCCCTTTTTGAGGAATAAGGTTTAATAAGGCAGGTGGTAGGCTAGCAAATTCCCAGCTGTCTTATTCAAGCAAACATCCCTATTTGTTACTTTCAAAGGGTAAGTTAACTACAATGACCTTTTAGGTATTACTACTATGAAAGGTATTTTTATCTCAGACCTCAAGATTTGCTTTTCATGCTAGGAAGAAATACTGGCCAATCCATAAACAAATAGTGCATGAACTATGTCATTTGTTTAAGGCCAATTTTTAGGTGTGGTTTCATAGAATGGGCAATTTTTCAAAGCAAAGAATAATTCCTGATAAAGTTTTTAATTCAATAGAAGTCCTGAAATTATTACGTTTGTATATTTATTTACCTTCTTACTAAGGCCACTTTGAGACAATCAGTGATTTAACTTCCCAAGTTCTAATATCTACTTATTAATTAATTAATAGAAATAATGAAAATTATAGAAAATAATAACAACAAAATTTGTTAGACTATTCTAGTTACTGAGGTGTGAACCACATTTTCATTTTAAAAGTTTGATGTTTCAGAAAACTAATTTTTATGCAACCATAACACATATAAAAAGGCTAGAATTTTAACAAGAAATTTTTGAGTTTCTGTTTAATAATTATTTTATATGATTGATTACTTTTAATTATATTTACTTATGTTAGTTACTGGTATTAATTTTTGTCTGTATAAAACTTTCATTCACGTTTGAAAATTGCAAGTTCTTGCATGTGAACATAGCAAGACTGGACAGAAAGTTGATGCATGTCTCTTCCGACATGGTTAGTGCACACATGAGCCAGCATCATCTGAAGCTACAAAGTAGTTGCAGTGCTAAAGAAAATAGAGTTTGTTTGGACAGTCTAGTGTGTGCCAATAATACATTGGTTTTGATGGCTAACTTGTGATACTTTATGCTCCAAATGTCCTTGGATATTTTAAAAAATGTCACTTTTAGGACTAATTTGTAGTTCTATGTCGTTTGTTCCAAATGAGTTTGATAATTTAAATAAAAGTACACTTAAAAAAAAAAAAAAAAAAAAAAAAAAAAAAAAAAAAAAAAAAAAAAGCTTAATACAGGTCACATCCTTCATCGCATGAAGAATGAACTTCAATGGATTACAGTTCTTCTACATTGATGCTTTGACAAAGTGATCCAGTCAAACTGATAGTGACTTTTACATAACATGAATACACAGATTTGTTGTCAACTGGAGAATGTACATAAAACTTAACGGGAATTTTACAGCAAAATTAATTTCAAGTTAATGAAGATGATTGAAATTACGTACATTAATTATATTCTTTTACCAATAGTACAGTTCTGTTACTTTAGAATAGGCACTTCATGGGTCATTTTCCCTCTTTTGGCGTGTCTTGTAAGCACGGAAAGAATTGCTGGAAAAGATGGTCGAGTCCTCTAATTTTCTAAAATCTTAAAATTCCCTCTGTAACATCAAAGTAAGGTCGGTACAACAAAGTACTTATTTAATAACAGAGTATAACATCTGAAACTTGAAAGGGGGCTGGGCTTTGGATTGTCTTTTAAAATTAAATATATGCATTTATTTTTACCTAAAAGAAGCAAATTTCATTCGCAGTATGATATACATTCATTGAGTGGATAGACAGGATGGATTATTACCAGATGCTGTTCAGCATGCAGCCAACTAAAAGTTGTAAAATACTTTTTGGTATTGTATTGTGGTTTTATAAGGTATTGTTATATTTCTAAAATGATATATAAAAGAACAAGATGGCAATTAAAATACAAGTGTACTTTTCAAAAGATAACAGTATTCCCAGGAGAATGACTGATTTATAAATAATACCAAACATATGAAATAACAGATGAAATAATACCAAAAATAATGATCACACAAAATTTTTAACAAACATAGGGTTGAAACACAGTCCAATAAGAAATTGTCAGGTATAATATCAAATTCAATAATGCATTAAAATTAATTCAATAATACATAGTGCAAATTCAATAATATGCTATGCTAAAAATATGGTATTACGTTTAAGCATTTAAATAATAAGCAGGATTGAGGTTAATTAAATTTACTGTACAAAAATAAAATTAATATAACAGTTTATATAAGAGGGAAAAGTGGTCAGTAACAAAGGACATGAATGCGAGGAGATAGAAATTATGAAACAAACTTACTTCAGGAACAGGCAATATTGTAGTCCATATTTCATCAACAGCAGTTTTTAATTTTAGTTCTAATAATGTTGATTGTTTCAGAAGAACAATACACCTACCTGAAAGTTAGAATCTAAATTATTTTTAAATGGAACTAGGAGATATAATTTGCTTTATAACATCGATTAAAGTACCATAAAAAATGAGTGAATTATAAGCATAGTCAACCTGTTCTGAGATGAACTTGTAATTTTTGTTCAATAATGTAATTCACTTTGTTTGATATTGTATGAGCAATCCACTCTCTTTTTTCCTGGGAAAAACATTTCAAGTTAAATAAAAAAGCAATTCATCACACAAAAAAGAATACATTTCACACATTTTCTTATTTCGATTTGAATAATGAAGCAGATATCATTCATTCATTATAAAATGGTTACACAAAATTCATATATATATATATATATTGTAACATATATATATCTTTGCATTGCTAAGCTACCAACATTATACCCAATGAGAAATGTAAAGAAACCTCACTATAAAATATCCTCACTTGAAGATGCATGCGTTTGAAATGTTTCAGTTTTTCTGTAAGTTTGAGTAATTTTGCTGTTTGATGAAAATGGTGAAATTTCTTTAAAAACATACATTACAATATATTCACTATATAATTAATATATGCATACATTATTATAAAATATTCATTATTATTATAAAATAGTCATGCATTGTTTTCTTCATATGCTAGGCTAAATGAACTCATTTGGAAGCTTTTCATAATTGTTACTCTAATAATGGATAATTTCTATCTCAATAATACATTTAAAGAGATACTTTGGTGTATTGTGGTTTTATAAGTTATTGTCATATTTCTAAAATGATATATAAATGAACAAGATGCCAATTAAAATACAAGTGTACTTTTCAAACGATAAGAGTTTTCCCAGGAGACAGTATTTTGGAAATAATTTATTTTGATTACAAATGCTTTTTCTTTGAAGAATGCTAATAATAATCCTTATTAAAAATAAAAGTAATTAGTCATCAAAGTCAAAATAAAGAAATAAAAGCTAAACATAACACAAATAAACACTTAGCATTTACATTCAAATTCATAACTTTAACTTTTAATAAATTAACGTTATAAATATATGTATACAAGTATAATATAGTTATCTTACTTTACTGTATTATAATATAGTTACCTTACTGTATCACAATATACTATTAAGTTATATGCACCATGATGATTTCACAATTAATATATGAAATACAAAAACTAAAGTTAAACTGAGATTAAGAATGTAATGCTCTTACTGAAGCAACATGTTAAATTTTTTTCATTCAAAATTCAAATAATCTGAACACACTAAAGCTTTCATTTATATGTTACATTAACTGCTGTTTATGCATCAGAAAATAAACTTTTATTGAAGCATCTATTTTTTAATACTTTCACTAAGACAACATGAAATCACTCATTTAAAGATTTTAACGATTTGAAAAGATTCTTGGCAGGAAGGACATAGCTTTTTCAACAATGAACTATAAAAAGTTTAGCAAAAGGTTTGCATTTTATTTTATAAAAACAAATATCAGATTCTAATTAAATGTTTTACATTTTACAAAAACTAGAAATGCATATAACTGCACATGAAACAAAAATATTTTAAAAATAAAAAGTCTTTAAAATTTTAATAAAATTTTAAAAAATGCACAGAAAATATTAAATAACAAGAAAATTTAATTATACTGCACAATATATGATACACACAACCCACATTATTTTCTTCTTTAACATCAGTTGTTCTAGGAGATTCCAAGGTAAATTGATTTTCAAAACAGTTTACAGTTTTTAAAGATTTATGATTAAATTCCCATACTATTGTCTCATTTTAAGAAAATTAAATTAAACGTTAATGGAAAATACCAGAAGAACATTTAATAAACAATTTGCTAACCCAAAATATATTTATTAAAAATAGATGCCATTTTCCGAGATTTGCTTAACCTTTTAACTGTCAAGTTATTTTGATGATTTGGGTGCATAATATGTTAATTTTTTTTTTATTCCAAAAATAAAAGTTTGCCTCGCAATAAAATAATAATAATAATAATAAAAAAAAAAAAAAAAAAAAAGAAAACTGCACATTTTTAACTTTAACTTCTATTCTTTGAAACCTTCAGCAAAGTTTTGCCATCTGTTGAATTGAAACTGAAATAAACTTCTCACGATATATATTCGGGTATAACAATACGATGCACTCAAAAAAAATTAGCCCGAGTAATGTTTGGGCTTGACATTTTGGAATACAAGTGCTGTGCCCGAGGTTATTTCGGGCATGACAGTTAAAAGGTTAAATGTTAAGTTATCTACAATGTATTTGATTGAACTTTAAGTAAATTAAATCAATTGTCAGTTGCAAAAAGCCTAACATAAGTCAAAATATGATTAGGAAGGGAAGAGATTTTTCTTGGAGAAAGTAAACAAGCAAATAAAAAGAACAAAGGGCTTGTATAAGCCTCTTACAGCTCACCATTGAGCTTATTAGACACACATACACACACACACATATACATATATATATATACAGTGGAGTGTCATTTATACGTATTCAAGGGACCATTCACAAAATGATGTATAAATGAGAAAGACTTACAAATAAAACTTAAATTTATGATGTGAAATATATATATATTAGCTGTCCAATTTTGATACTACTAACATATTACTGCTCTACACATTTTTATTGTCATGCTTTTAATTTGTTTAATATATTTACTATGTACAAACAAATTTAAAATTAATATTTTAAAAATATAATTAATATTAACAGAGTTGCCACTCAATCAGGAGAATGAAATTCTCTGACTTTTCCAGGTGTGTTTTAAGAAAATTCCAGTCTATTTGCATAATGCCCATTGATTGTGCTAACAGGTAAATTAATTATGGAACCACTTGACAACACAAAAATTTGTCAATTACATATGACTTATATATATATAATCCCGAAAGAATTACTATTATAACTATAATAGGAGTTGTTTTCTCCACTGAAGTTTGAGATTAGAATCTGCCCAATCTGAATTAAAAATTGTCTTTTTTTTCAGACATTTTGCAGCTAAATGAAAGAAAGAAATCTATTTAAAGATATTTTAAAATAAATTCAGGTATTTTATATTTATATAGCAGCATACATACGCAAAAAGTATGTGCATTAAATTTTGTGATGCTGCTAGAATCAGGATTATGCCAGAGAAAATTTTCTGAAATTTGAAAGTATTATTCACTAATAATAAATTAATTCAGAGGAAAGAAGCAAAATTTAATGATACGAATAAAATTAAAGTAAAGATAATTACTTAAAAATTGAATTAGAATAATCAATGATATTTTGGCGATTATATTAAATGGTTAGCCTAGGTGACTGATTACTTTTTTTTTAATTTTACTGCAAAATGACAACTAAGGCACTTATTAAAAAAGAGTTTAAAAGATTTTGTGGTAAAATCCTAGTCTACACTACGGCCTTGGCACGATTTTCAAAATTGTCGCCAACACCAAAATGACCCGTTTACTGCTCATCATAATGTCGTCAAATGCCATGTACCATATATGGAGGTTAGAATAACCTCCTTAGTACCATGCGCTAGGTTTAAACCAATTTTATTTTTTACGAGAATACATATTTTTTTTAGTTCAACATGCGCTGATCATGCCCATGCAGGTCTTTTGATTCTCGAGGCTACTGGAAACCAAAGTTGCTAGAAACTTTCTTTGTCTTTCTAAAAGACAATCTAATTAGAGCTGCAAAAACTGGCTCTATGCCAGCTGCCTGAATGACACTCACACAGTACATAATTCGCCAAGAAAGTGATTGCTTCCAATATCAGCGCAAAACTCGTTTTTTTGGGGGTATCGCCGTATGAAATTTCTTGACTTTTCCAGATTTTGACTAAAATATTTAAATTCCCTGACTTTTCCCGTTAGTGTGGTAACTCTGTATTAATAGTTTAAGCAATTAAACAATTTTTTATAATTAATATTTAAAAAAATATTGCTGATAAATAAATTTAACATATTTTAAAAAATATTAATACAAACTAATCTGTTTTAAAAGCATAAGAATTCAAATTTCTGTACGTAGTTATGTAAAATTTGAAAAGAAAAAAAAAAAAAAAAAAAGAAAGAAAAGAAAAGAGTCATACTTTTATTTGAATTACTATCTTGAATAAGTAATATTTTTTCAACGATATTTTAAATTTAACATATTTTTAAAGAAAAGTCTTTTAATTATCCTCTGATGTGTCTTTTGATAATGAATAAGCAAAGCGCTATGAATTGAATTCAGCTCTTGAGTACAACCAAAGAAATTTCTGAGTGTGTCAATGCAGTAAGTAGCATTTTGAAATGAAGATGGGATTATTTCTACATCCCCAATACTTAAATGTTTTCAACCAGTTCTTCAACTGTGCATATGGCAGCATTACATGGGCATCAACAGTGCATGCATTCCTCAATTGCAGTGTCTAATCCCACTCATTTTCAGTCTTCTTCATGCATAATCAGAGTTTTATTATCATTTTTATTGCAAGCACTTTCAATTCACTCTGGGTTCAGAAATCCCCTTTAATGAATCAAATTTTGAATTAATTGTGGTTTTACCTGATCTCAGACAAGTAAAATCATATTCATAGTCTCAATACTTCAATTTTCCCGTGCATTTCCTGTAGTTATATTTTGAAGAGCTATTTGAATCAACCTTTGGCTGTAGAATATTTTCAAATTTAAAATTACACCCAGATCTAAAGGTTGTAGTACACTAATGCAATTTGCTGGGAAGAAAACAATTTTGCAATAAATCTGTCATTTCAGAATGGATAGTGCAAATGAACCATAAAAAGTAAAATTTTGTAGTTTAGTCACCTCATAGTTTTATTTTCTTGAGCCATTCTGCAAAAATGTCCATAGTAGTTTCTTATTTGCTTTATATTATAACAACAGAGTTTTAACATGTTTGAAGAACCTTGGCTTTTGTGACTTTCACAGACATCCATTTTTTCCATAGCATCAGTATCTGCACAAAGTAACATTGTGAGATGTTCTTTACTTTGCTTAGCTACATAACACTGGTTGGCTTTGAAAGCTAGGGTTCTTCCAGCCATAAGTTTAAAGAAAAGAACAAAACATCAACATCAAAATTAGCCATTTACTGAGGTGAATACATTCTTGAACTACTCTTCAGTTGCCTCAGCAGTAACACATTTTGATTCTCTATTTATTACGACATCATAGTTTTTGCTTCTTTTATTCTGGTGGGTATTTCATGGCATTTGCTTTAACATTCTATTTAATGATTTGATGGCAAATTGCTGTATTCCTACAGAAATTTTACTGCACTTTCTTCCACTGCACGTAAATTTTTTAAGCACATATTTTAAAATTGAGTTAAGGCAAAAAATATCACAGTTTGTTTTATAAAAGTCTTTGAACTTGGTATATCACAAAAATAATGCATATAAAAATGGTGACATTACTTGTTGAAATTAAAAAATTGTTATGCGCATGTTTGCCAGGATTTGGCACATTCTGAAAAATTGTCAACTTCTACTAAGGTGATTGTGCTTACACATAAAGACAGCAAAAGCTCAGAAAATGCTGAATGCCAGATACGTGAAAATTATGGAAAGTTGAGCATATAAAAAAGTAATTCACAGCAGAAAAACTAAATGAATAAAAGAAGAAATTTCTGTTTTAAAACTACAGAAGCAGTCATCAACAAGCTTACATTAATATTATGCAACATTTAAAAAACAATGAATTTCAAACATAAAAGCCAATATAGTATTTTGATACGCATTATACATATGAAAATAAAACATTTTAACTGATTATGAAAGCCTGTCAAATATAACATACAGATAAGATCCCACCAAATTTATACCAATCATTCTGATGGAAGTTTGAAACAAATGATCCTCTTCATTAATTTGAAAATCATGAAAAACAAGATTAAATGCCTGTCATGAATTTTAGAATATCTTATACGTTCCTATGCTGCACTGACTCCTACGAGGAGTGCCCAGTTCCAAGGATGAATGAATTCTTGGAATAATATGAGAACAACAATGGCTAGAGAGGGGTGTAACCAACAGCTAAATGAAAGCCATGTAATTGCAGTCACATTTGAGATGTTACAAGTAGGATTCTGTACTGAAGCCTTATATGTGCTTCATAATGACTTTATAAGTCTGTCATTTGCTTAATTTAAGGTAAAAAGAACTAAAATTTAAAAAATATTTAGGTTAGTTGAATGCTGGATAGTTAAACTTTTCAAATACCTTTTATTTCAATGAGACAGTTACTTAAATGAGATAGTTATTTAAATAAGACAGTTTTACTATGCAAAATGCTTTTATACTACAGTGGATTTGCTTTACAAAGTTTTGAATTTTTTCGCAAACTGGAAATGTTCAAAACATACAAAGTCCACAGTAGTAGATAATATATTAGCTAATTATACATATACATTTAAGATTTAATCAAATTTTAAAGTACAATAAACAAAATATTTCATAGATCAGTACCTTATTTTCTAGACATTCAAGGGTCAATTTTTCATAATCAAAAGAACCATCATCCCTGGTTAATTTATCATCAAAATGTTTAGTTATTTTCTCTTTCAAATCCTTATCTTCATTCAGTACTGAATGAATTACATCATTGCAACATACTAAGAACACACCAAATTGTTGAAAACACTTAGCTATATAAGATTTTCCACTCATAAGTTGTCCTTTTAAAAGAATGATATAACTTGTGTTAGAATTTGGAATGATCTGTAATATACAAAATTGAGAATAATTAATCAAATCATTTAAAAACACAGAACAATAAAAAATTCTTAAATGAGTAATATAATTTGAAATATTTTAAGACTAAACTAACAGAATAATGAAATGTGCATTCATATGCATTGTCTTACATTCCATATGATAAATGATCTTGCTTATTGTCCGATAATTCCCCCCCCCCAAAAAAAGAAAAAAATCTGAAAGAATTCAGATTTTAATGTTGCACCAGAGAATTTGGTAAGGTTTTTTATGCTCTTCTTGAGTTTGTAGTTTATCTATCTGCTCTTGAACTCCCTCCTGCTGACAAAATTTTTTTTCTGTTTTTACCTTTATTATTAACTCACTTTATTCAGACTTATGCCACATAAAATTCAATGGCAAAATCACAGAACTTAAAAATAGCACATTTTAAGAATTCTCCAAACAGATTAAGTGTGGCCCTACATTTTTAGGGCTATCACTTTTTATCCTCACTTTTATTGTGCGTTTCACTTTTCGAATAACTAGCTACTGGCACAGCCAGCTGCCTAAAATATTATTATAAAAAAAGATAAAATAAAAATCTGAAAGCTTTCAGATTTTATATTACACTCATTTCCCCCCCCCCCCCATTTACACATGCATATACGTTTCAAGAGCATTTGGGTTAAAAATATTTAAAAACAGCATATGTTTAGAATTTCTGATAGACAGTTGAGCATGCTGAAGATAAAAATATTTCATCCCATACAATGCATTGCCACTGCTCACATTGAAATCATTGAATTTCTTAATAAAAAATTCAATTGCAAAATATGAAACAGATAATAAAGCAAATTCAAAATTCGGGCTTCCAAGTGCCTATATTCGGGTAGAGAACTACATTATTCAAAATTTGATGTCTCTAGGTTTCTTTGTTTTTTTCACAATGCAAGAAACAAACATACATTCAAGCAGATTGTTCATTATTTAATTTCTTTAAATATAATGCAGGGCAATAATGTTTGGTGGCAACAGTTTGAAAAGTGATATCGCCATTTATAGTGATTTGATTTGATGCAAAATGACATTTCAAGACTTCTGGGCTAACACCTCTTTTGGGCTAAAAAGGAAAAAAAATATATAAAATGCTTTTAAGAATTCCAGCTAGTGTCATTTCATTTATCCAGTACGTAATTAATAAGAGAGAAAAAGAACTGCATTTATTACTTTTAAACTATTTAGTTTGTTAATCAGTAACAGGAAGATTAAATTTTAAGGAAAAATTAAATATCTTATGCTTTGCCAAATAGCAACAAACTGACACCTCGAAGTTACAAATATTTTATATCTAAATCTTTAGAATTTCCTGTAAAGTGTTAAATGTTGCCATATATTTTTTTATATTCAATACATGTTTTCTTTAAAAATAATATACAGAGATAACATTTGGTGGCAACATTAAAATTTTTTTTATCTTATCTCCATCCATGCCACTTTTGCCATTAAGTGACAAGCAGCCCAGTAAAATTAATAAGAATGAAAACTTTTGAAAATGAAACATTTGAAAAGTGATATGAATAAAAAAGTGAGGCTCAAAACAAAAAAAGCATCACTAATGCTAATAATAATAATAATCAGTACTTTTCCGTTTTGCCGGCACAAACGATAAAGTCGCCAATAATGGTAACTGATGCCAAACGGAATATCTTTGAGTGTAACCTTTTACGCCTCATTTTCAAAACACACAACCATTTCTTATCATATTGATTTTCTTTCAATACTGGCATACAATTACATAGAATTTTTACAAGATAGCTAAATTTTATGCCCTAAGACCATTCACGATAATTAAGTCAATTAGGATGCAATCAAACCGCTCACCTGAAGGCGAAAATAAAGAAAAGGCAAAATCAAGGGTTAAATTCATCAATTCTAATAAGAACACACTAGCGAAGTAAAGCACTGTGGTTTTGCATAATTTGTGAGTAAGCTATTCGTACGAATTGAAATAATTCCTGCATTTAAACTTGTATTCCAAATTAAGATTTAACTTGAAATTAATGTAGATAATTACTGAGAGAATTAGATTTTTGTAGTGTAGTTTATGTGAGATGAGATCATTTGGGATCACATGATATGAACCGGCAAATCAGGATGTTGAACCATGAAAGCATAGTAAATTCTTAAATTAATGTCTTTTTACAAATATATTGTCTTTATTTATTGTCTTTTTACAAAATTTTAAACATATTAAAATGTTTATGCCTTCAGAATAAAAAATTCTCAGATCTAACATTTGTTAACACTTTTTATGTGTATACTGTATGTTATCGCCAACAAAGTCTGCTTGGCAAGATTTGTGCCAGCAAAACGGAAAAGTACCCAATAATCATTGTTCAGCTATGCGTAAATTTATTAATTTATAATTTAGTACTTTTACAAAACTGATTCTTAGGAAGAAAATCGATAAAATGAACTGTATATTACACATTAATAAAAAAAAAAAAAAAAAAAGAAAAAAAAAAGAAAAGAAAAATTATGGGAAACACTGAAAGATCACTTCCTAAAGAGCAACAATCAGAAAGAATTACTCTATAATAACAATAATAATGAACCAATAGAGATTACCTAAACCTAATTTGACAAAATTAAGTAAAAACAAACTAAAAAAAATTATCGACTTCTGGATATGCAATGTGTATAAATGCAATAATAAATGTGTCAATAAAACCTACACATGAAAAATGTAAGGGAGGAGGGGAATATATTCACTAGCAAATCCTGAACCATGTCAGACAGTACCTAAACTTCAGTGTACAGCAATATGCATCATTAAAGTTTTTATTAATAAATGAACAAAATATAATAAATGTCTTATCAGCAATAGGATGAATTAATTTACAATAAAAATTTAAGTGAACAGCATTTTGAATGAATACATATTCTAAAAATGTGCATCTTCTCACTAATTGCACAGTGGGAAGGTGCACATTCTTATGCCTTGATTACAAGCTATTTAAAATACAGTCTATATGTATGTTTAATATTTTTCATCTTAGAATGAGTGCTTAGGTCAAAATGCTGATAATTTAATTTTGGTATTGTCAAATAATTGATCCCACTGCTAATGAGACTATTCTTGAATGTATTACTTCTTGTTCATAATGTTTTTCTCATAAATACAAAAAAGAAAATAATACAAATCCCTGTATATTACAACTTAGGAATTTAAAAGTCTAACCTACTTTGGGTTTTGTTAGTGAAGATTAGTTCATTTTACTTTTTCTTCCACAGATTTTATCAGTACACATATTGCTAATCATTGTACACATTATATATTCAAAAGCCCCTTTGTTATTTTGACTTTATTTTGTCGGAATGGATTTTGGTGATCACTTGATGAATTATATATATATATGTAAGATAAAAATATATAAATCTCTTATAATTTAAACTAGCGATAGCACTTCTCTATTCCAAAAATAATAACTTTTCTGTCCTGCATCATTTCTCGATCAATTGATATTATATGACTTGTGTAATGTTGATCATGTAGCTAATTCAGAACTTGAACTCAAAATTTTGAAAACTGAAATTTTTTCTTAATAAGCAACTTACACCGAAACCTTCTCTTAATAGACTGCCATATTGGATAACTGCACATACTTTGCTTTGATCTCTGTTCTTGCTAAGATGCCGTGTGGCTGTTCTTTTCCTATCGCAACAACATCAAAAATGCAAATGCTCTCAAATAGGCATGATTACAGTTCTAAGTGAATTATGGCTGCAAATGTCAACTGAAAGTAAAGATGAATTTTTAATACACCTCGACTGCCGAGTTTGCCTTTCATTATGGATTCAACATTCTATATCATCAATGTTGCTACATCTTTTTCATTATACACACACACATATATAGATATACAGAGTAACAGAGTGATTATGTAAAAAGCTTAGGAAATGCTGAAGGTTGGATATGTTAAAATTATGGATAGTTGAGCATATCAAAAAATTTAATTTACAGTAGAAAAGCCACATAAATGGATGAAGTAATTTCTGGTCTAAAATTATAAAAATAGTCATTTTATTGATCAACTTATCTATATTTAAATTATGTGAATTGAAAAAAAGTGTATTTCAGGCATAAAAACTGATGTATTTATAAGAAAGTAAAACATCTTATCTGAATATGAAATCCTACTGACCATGAAAGCTGGCTGAGATCCCACCTAACTTGTGCCAATCAATCTGGCAGAAGTCTGAAGGAAGAGATAACTCTTTATTTAGTTGGATAATCAAGAGATACATTTTACAAATATAACCTAAGAAAAACTTAAATAGCCTATCCTTATTTTTACTATTGCATTGCCACTGTTTATCCATTTTCAAATAAAGTTCCTTATCATACCCGTTAATGCAAATTTTTCTTGATGTCAAGATCCTTAACTTTTAAAATACGGGATAAAGTACCTGTTAATGCAAATTTTCTCAATGCCAAGATCCTGTAACTTTCAAAATACACTATAAAGTCTGAGAAATAGAACTATTGAGATTTCAATGATTCCAAATTGTTAGATCATCAATTTGAATCAGGTAAGTTTACACATAGAAATTAAAAAATTAAAAATGTTTTTGAAATAATGAAATCAACATTTACAGAGAGAAAAAAAAAAAAAAAAAACATTTGCAATGTTTCCTTAAAATTTTTTTGACACAAGTTTTTTAAAGGCTTTCATTTTATGTATAAATACCTTCTCTTTAATTTTACAGAGAAACACAATTTTTTACATAACTTTAGCTACAAAATTCAACTGTTCAAGCCCTAGTATTGCCATTTCAAGAAATCCCATTAAATAGTCAATGTAAATATTTTCATTTTAAGCAATCTTTTTATTACATTCTTCACAATTTTTGGCAATGTTTTCTGAATTTTAAACAACAGTACAGGTTTTGGTATAGTTGTTTAAAATGCTCCAATTTCTTTTTCTATGAGGAGCATTCAGCTTGTAGGACAAATTTCTCAAACTATATGATGGATATAAGGGAGCTAATGACAGATGTAAGTGCATTCATATTTTAAACATTACAAGGGGGTTCCGAGTAGTAGTCCTGCACATGCTTTGCGATAGCTCTACGAGTCTGTCATTTGCTTAATTTTTCATTACAAAAAATTTGAAAATATTCTAGTTAGTTGAATGCCAGATAGTTAGGCTTTTACTGTATATAGACATCTATGCGTATGTACAAGAATTTTTATTTTTTAAGCAAGAAATCTGCATGAAGCAAAAATTCTATTCCAATATCACAAAAATTTCATTTTTCATGTAAACTTTACATTTGTGTTTGAAAATAAAGCAAAATCATTTGATTTCCTAGGCTTAGAGTGGGAGTAGGGTCTTTTTATATTCGCCCTTTTGTTCATTTGATTAAGATAAAGATAACTTTCCTTTTTCCATTTTATGAAACAGAATTTATTTAGTTTTTCTAGTCATTTTAATTAATTAATACTTGTTATATTATTTAATTTGTTATTGTTACAACTTGATGATGGCAAGTAGAACTTAAAGTGAATTTTACAATGAAATTGTATGTGAATTCTTTTCTATAACTTTCATAATAACATATGAAAAGATAATATTACCATACATTATATTGATTAAACATTTCTCCGAAACTAATTTTAACTTAAATTTCATTTCAAAAAATGGCTACAAAAAATAAAAAATATAGGTTTAAAGATTACTAGTATTTTCCTGTATGGATTCAATTTTTGCTTACACTTTTACTTCTATGCTACATAATTAACCTACTATTCATAATCTAAAATCAGTGCTTTATTACAGAATTGCATAATAATAATATGAAACCCAGCTGATCTGTGTTAATGTGACCCATGATATAATAACTCATAAAAAATCACAAAATATTTTCCGCAAACCTATTTTCTATCTGATACAACTATTTAATATAATATCTTGTTTTATTGATAACCTGAAAGGTATTGTAACACAAATGAACTTTAGTACAGTCAAAAGTCGTTAATTTGGACTCGTTGGGACTTTAACGATTCCGGATTATCGATTTTTTCGGATTATAGATCATCAGTTTAAATCTGGTAAGATGGCATGCAGAAATCATAAAATTAAAAATATGAAATAAAGAACAATTATGATCTAAAGGGTATCAAAATTTACAAAAAAAAGCTTAATATTTATTTGTTTACTTTATTAAATATTTCTTTCAATGTAAGTTGTTTAAGTTGCTTCGTTTTATGTAATAACACTTTCTCTTTAATTCTATAAACAGACATAATTTCTTGTTCAGTTACAAAGTTCCACTGTTCAAGTCCTGTAATTGCTGTGTCGAGAATACCGACTAATTTGTCAATCGAAATTTTTTCGTTTTCAATAACCTCTGTGTCACTTTCTTCACTATCAGAAGCAAATTATAATGACGAGGAATTTGATTTAAATCATATCAAAGACGGAATACATCGAGATGAAATACTACATTTAGTAAGGAATTATAAGCCAAATAAAATGAAAACATCTGCCCTGAAGATAAGGATAGTGCTGACAGATCAACTTCCAATTCATTGCACGTCCCCCCCCCCCGCAGAGCAGCGTGAAATTGATAAACAGATTTCGGAATGGTTAGGTAATTTTTTTGCAGCAATTCCTTTTTTGTTTAATGGACTTCAAAACATACTTTTGCTTTGTAGATCCTTTACATATTAGTAAATATATATCGGAAATTCTATTTGACATAATCGAAAGTTCAAGCTTACTTTTATAAAATTGCTCTAACAGTCTGCAAAAAATAATAAGCCAGATCCAATTCGAAGATTAAGGAACAATGCAATCTGCAACATTAACTGAATTAAATAATTTTAACTTAGCTTATACTGTCCGTTATATATTAAATGCGCATGCGTAAACGTATTTTGTGCATGCGCACACACATATTCGCAGCAGTAAAGATCTTACGCACATGCATCAACGTGATGCATGCGCAGAAAGTTTGTAGCTTTGAGGTCTGGATTATAGATCATTCCGGATTATGGGTGTCCGAATTAACGACTTTTGACTGTATTAGTATAGTACATTATATTACAGTACTTTGGTGTACTTGTTGATTTTTAATTATCCTGATCTGAACCTACAGACGAACTAAGTCCATAAATTCTATTCTGTTCAAGAGGCAAAGGATATTCAGATCTCATACTTTCCTAATTGTACTTTCCTCTCTCAAATCTACTAATTAACAGTCACTTTTGTCCTAAACTATATATTTGAGTCTCAAACTACACTAAGTTTAAACAACATATTATTTATTTATTATTATTATTACATATTTGTTCGGCATGCTATTGTATCTTTACATATATGAATTCCAGCATGCATCCACAGTGCAATACATTATCAGTTGCCTAATTCGCATATATACACTGCTAGCCATTAAAATTACAACATTATGAAAGAAAGCAAATAGAAAAAAGATATTTATTACACATAAACGGTATGGCATGAAGACAAAATGATTAAATTTGTAAGCATTTTGGAGAGTCACAGGGGTGCGAAATTATTAGAAACAGCTGCCACCCCTGGCAACTAAAGCAGCCCTTACCCCATTAGGCATGAAGTCAAACTGGGCTTGGAAGCTGATGACACAGGCCTAAATGACAGGCCTAAATTTGGCGAGATCACTACCAATTTTCATGACTGAAGGCATTTCAGAATTGAATGTGATGATTTACTTTGGCATTTATATCTGGAATGCCCTATTTCATTCGTTGTCTCATGTTATTTAAATGCAGACATTTGAAATTCAAGTTAACCCATAAAATCACTTATTTTATAATTTTAGACAGGAAATTTTTTTCCATTCACTTGGCTTTTCTACCATGAACTGTATTTTTTATATGTTGAATTATCTAGAATTTGCTAGAATTTGGAATTTCCGGAGCAAATAGTCAAGACTTTACTGTATAATATTGGGCATGAGTATATATTTTGTTACAACAGCAAGGAGCCACAAATATCAAAAATAAAAGCAGTAGAAGACTGAAAGATTGAAAATTGTTGATTTACTTCTTTATTTTAGTCATATAATAGCAATAAAAGGTTATTCATAAAAATGATTTGTTATTTTAAGTCATATAGAAGTAAAAAAAAACTAATTACATTTTAAATACAGTTTTAAATTAGATAAAATTTACTTGAGATTTCAGGAGAGGTTTTCCTAGGAGATGCATACGATTTGTTGAAGAACTCATTTTTTCTTCTTCTTCTGGATTTCTGTTAGCATTTTGCACTAAATCTACAATGTACATACTCAGTTCACTCATGCCCTAGAGAAATATAAATTCATAATATTAAATTAATTTCAATTTAAGATTTTGCAAGGACAGAAAATATAACAAAGTCTCTTATACCCTTTTTCTACGTTCTTGATTTACTTTTTCACCCCCAGTCTTAGTTTCAGCACTGACAACTATGCAGTCTATGTCAGGTGTAGTAATAGTAGGCCCATAAGGATCCACAATAGGTACTATTTCATAGGAGAGTGAACAGTCTACATCACATAAGAATTTTGAAACTTCTTCAATTCGCTTTTCCACGGGTTCAATTAATTCCCATAATATTTTTCCTGAAAAATGATATAAGGATACAAAAAATTTTTTAAATAATTTCAAGTAAACACATCATCTACACACTGAAGAAAAATATCTAATGCATTCCTCTGTTAAAAAATTTAGTGGAAAAGTTATGTCATGTACATTAAACTCGCAGTACTACTTGAATTTGGCTCTTAAGTCTTGTTCACATAAATAGATTCTTCATATAGCATTTAGTTAAGACAGATGAAAAAAATGGTCCTGAAGGAGGTTCTTTGGTACTATTCTGTTATCAGGATACATTGTTCGTATATATACATCCATACATATATGCATGCATACACACATTTCTGAATGCAGTCCTGATAACAGAAAACGTATGGGTTCTTCTTTATGATGCATTCATAAACACATTGTCTTCAGTTCCCTTCCTCACTCATTTTAAGCTGTAGAATCGATGCTCTTTGCCATTTCTTTAGATATTTAATGAAGTTTTTAAAATTATTGCTGCTACTTTAGTTGAAAATTTGTTACATAAAAAGCAAAACAGTGGCATGATTCAAACAATTTACTGCTTGTTTGCTGCTAGGAACTATTTTAAGTAAATAAAGGAATATTTATTTATAACTTATGTACATGACTTATTAATTGACTGGTGTGTAATTGAAGGTTTACTTAGTAGCTATTATAAGTGCCCTGTATGCAGGAAGGATATGCATCCAGTCAAATGTAAAAACCGTTTAGATCGATTTGAAGGAAGAAAGGTTCAGATGGTCACTGTGTGAAGCGATCGATCAGAAAGAGTACCTGGTTTGAAAAAAGTCATTTGAGTATGACTGATATTTTGATTTTTATGTGGCTCTGGGTGTACGAAGCGAACTCGAAAATCATGGTAAGTGAATACAGTCAAAAGTCGTTAATCCGGACTCATCGGGACTTCGGCGATTCCGGATTATCGATCATCAGTTTAAATCTGGTAAGATGGCATGCAGAAATTATAAAATTAAAAATATGAAACCGTAATTTATGAAATAAAGAACAATTATGATCTAAAGGGTATCAAAATTTACGAAAAAAAAAAAAAAAAAAAAAAAAAGCTTAATATTTATTTGTTTACTTTATTAAACATTTCTTTCAATGTAAGTTGCTTTAAGTTGCTTCGTTTTTTATGTGATAATACATTCTCTTTAATTCTATAAACAGACATAATTTCTTGTTCAGTTACAAAGTTCCGCTTGTTCAAGTCCTGTAACTGCTGTGTCTACTGACTAATTTGTCAATCGAAATTTTTTCATTTTCAATAACCTCTGTCACTTTCTTCTTCGCTATCGGAAGCGAATTATAATGAACGAGGAATTTGATTTAAATCATATGAAAGACGGAGTACATCGAGATGAAATACTACATTTAGTAAGGAATTATAAGCCAAATAAAATAAAAACATCTGCCCTGAAGATAAGGATAGTGCTGACAGATCAACTTCCAATTCATTGCGTGCCACGGCATGTTTAGTTTAAAAAAACGTTAAAGTTTAGTAAATAAAGGATATGCCTTTATCCATTTTTTGTAGCAATTCCACTTTTTGTTTAATGAACTTCGAAACACACTTTTGCTTTGTAGATTCTTTACATATTAATAAATATATATCAGAAATTCTATTTGACATAATCGAAAGTTCAAGCTTACTTTTATAAAATTGCTCTAACAGTCTGCAAAAAATAATAAGATAATTTTAGCTTAGCTTATACCATCCGTTATACATTAAACACGCACTCGTAAACATATTTTGTGCACGCGCACAAGCATATTCGCAGCCGTAGAGGTCTTATGCGCATGTGTCAACGCGACATATGTGCAGAAAGTTTGTAGCTTTGAGGTCCGGTTTATAGATCATTCCGGATTATGGGTGTCCGAATTAACGACTTTTGACTGTATTTACTTTTGGTAGTGCTTAAATGTATTACATACTTTTCCTTTTTTATGTTATTTTATTGTTTGGTTCAAAATGTATTTTATTTAGATTAAGTATTTTTTGTTTGCCTATATTGTAGAATTCGGTGCTCCTTTCACTTTTTAAGTGAAAATATATCGATGTGTACATGGACAAAGTAAAGGGAGTGCGCAATGCAAGTTTGTGCAATTCGGGGATTTTTTTTTTTTAAGTGAAAATAGGTTAACGTGTACATGGATAAAGTCAAAGGAGTGCGCAATGCCATTTTTGTGCAATTCGGGGATTTTTTTTAACTGAAAATAAATCGATGTGTACATGGATACCGAGTTTGTGTAATTGCTTGTCTTGTTATTTTGGCTTTGTGCAAAAATCGCCACTTTGCAAGCCAAAATAACGAGTCAAATAATTGAACAAAATCGGTATCCACGTACCGCCAAAAATCGCCAAGGGGTACCCTAAACTATACTTTTACCCTTAGGCAGTAGTCAGGCTCTGCCCACACCCATGGTCTATTATTTTATATGCAAAAGTTCTTATATTGCTAAGACTATCCTCAGCTTAAAAGACAGTAAAATGTGGAATAAAAAGAAGGCTCAGAAGAACCAAATTCTGAAACAGAAATAAACTAAAATGCAATTCACCTGCTTTCAAAAATCATATTCTGATACTGGTTTAGAAAGAACTTACAAAATGGAATTGTTGTTTGCATATCCACTAAAATAATAAAATTCAGCAATAATTAATATATTTCTCAAAAATACTTGAACATTTTGTTCACTTGTTTTTTTTAAAACAGATTCGTTCACATAGTGATTGTTTTTGTCTTATTAATAAAGAAAAACCATCGCAAACTACCTGTGAAGATCCTACCCAGCCTTTTCTTCTAACTGTTAAACTTTATGCTAGTAGCTTAAAATAAGAACTGATAAATCACAGCAAAGCAAACATGAACTGACATTCGATCTACAATTTTGCTCAGTTATGCATTCATCTTCTGCAATTATTAAGGATGATTTTGAAGCTTCTGTAGCAAAGGCAATAATAAAAATGGGTGAGATTAAGTTACAGGGTAGCAAAAACAGAAATATCTTATTAGATATTGTAATGCTAATATTACTATGCATTCTTATTGGAATAAAGGTTTCTTTTAAAGAAATTATATTGTGATAATTTCCTGTAGTTTATTCATGACTATTTTTCATTTGTTAGTTTCTCAGATTAAATAAGTTTATATGTTTAACAATTTCAAAATATAAATACACTTTTTTTTCAAATGAAGTTACTTTCTAAATTACCCAAATTGCCCAAATAGGTAAAAAGAAATTACTAATCACCAGTTTGCTGAACTAATTCTGTAAGAATACATTATATAAAATTAATTGTTTATTGCACATGATTTGTTAATTTAATTAACAATAATATATTTAAATGAATATCTTTTCCCTACAAAGCAGAATCAAACATTTTGAGGATATTTGTAACTCAATATATACAGCAAAAATAAGAATTAAAGTTAAAAAGTGTAAATTTTAGTATTTTTGCCAAAAAGTATTACAAGACTAAAACTGCTGTAACACAAAGTTCTGTTTTACTTGATTCATTTCTTAAATTTAATTGATGGGTTTGTAATCAGCCATTCAAGTGATTATGCATTTTTCTTTAAACACCCTGTGTCTCTTAACCATCTGACCGGAATTGAGTTTTTCTAACATAGTCCATATTTCCCAAAACTGCCATGAGATTTCTTGATTTTAAAGCAAAAATGCCCAGGTTCTTAATATCTGGATTTATGTAAAAATAATATATTATCTTAATTTTTTGAACATATTTAAAGATGCATATATATATATTTTCTCACAGACATCACAAAAAATATTATATATGGCCTTGCCGATCAAAGGGGTTAACTAAAAATTTCATCAAGTATGTACAATTTTTCTTCGGTCTCTGCAATATATAACCTTACATAATCAAATTAAGAATTTATGATTTCTTTCCTGAGATCGCAATGCATTCTTAAAAAAATAAATGATTTACCATGTAAATTTAAATTTTAGTAAGTTTCTAAAGCTATCAATTTACTACTTTCTTTCTCTTACATTTGAAATAATTTAAAAGGCATTTTTATAATCTTAACAGTTTTTATTATACCTATATATTTATTTGAAGCACATTTAAAAGAAAAGAAATTTTATCTTGAATAGTCATATCACATTTTCATTGAACAATTTCTGCTCTTTCAGACATTAAGAAAAGCTTTCACTAACATTCCACAGAACAGATAATTTAAACCAGTCATGATGTTAACACCTAGCATAAAGTGATTTGATGGGTTAAAATTCCTTATTCATCCTGCTCTTGATACAGCAAAGAAACACATCCTTGATTTGAAAAACTGTAAATAGTACTTTGTCATCTATATGGGACAGTTTGAAAGAACTAGCTTCCAAGGCTCTATGAATGGGATTTTACAATGCTAGCGTACTTTCTATATAAGAAATGTAGGAAACAATATTATCTGTTACGGTGTAATCTGTGTTGCAGTATATCTTTCAACTATTTGACAATAAAGCACACTCTTTGATCAGAAACAGATCCTTTATACTAAAACCACCTTATTTATTAGAAATCTTATCCTTTCAATACTACTGTTTTCTCTAATAAGGATGCTTCTATGAGATCACAGTTTTCAGATAACTGAAATTATTCTTAATAATGCGATGTCCTGTTCAACGAAAAACGTTTAGTTTCTACTGAAACACATATTCTGTCAATGCTTTAAGAAATGTCAGAAGTACACATTTTCCTTCTTTTTTTATTTTATCCTATGTCAAGGAAGAGTCCAAGGACCATAACTTCCCACGAGTGACCAAGTAGAGTTGAGCAACAGAGAAGTTTTTATTTTAAGATGAGGCCACAATAAGTTAAAACCGAAATTAATAGTACCGAAATTAAAGCTTATATTCTAATGCATGGCACTTCAAACAAAATTATTCTACAAGCATTTTGCTAGAGGTTTTTTTTTTTTTTTTTTTTTTTTTTTTTTTAAAAATATATATGCATTCAATGAGAAAGAAAGAAAATAATTTTTTAAACCCAGATTTTTAAATTTTTACCTCTAGAAATCACAGATGTGGCAAATAAAGAGAAGTATATAAAATAAGTTGTCTTTTTCTTTTAGAAGCAGTATTTTAGCATGAGTAAAGAGGATTGTGAAAGAATAATCATTTATCTAAAAATATTTGTCTTTTTACACAGTAAGATGAGACAAATGCCTGGAGTCACAGCAGCCTAATATAATATAATGTATCATAATGCATAAAACAGGAAACAAGAGTTAGCTTCACTTAGTAAAAGAATTAAAGAGACTGGTTACCAGACAAACCATTATGGGATCTTTTAAATAGAGTTGGTAATTAGCAAATAACAGAAAAACTTTGTTATCTTTTTATAAGACCTTAATTATTTGTTAAGAATTTTTATAAGTCTGTGTTTTGTTAATTTTTCATAACTGTGAAGTTTTAAGCTGCTTGAAAAATAAGATTAAGATATTTGGATTATGAAATAGCAAATGAGGGTTATCTGCTTAAGGGATGAATTATTAGGCTGGGAGTGATTGGGAGGGGGAAAAATATAAGATAAAAGAACAAGGATGAAGACTTGAATGACATAGTTTAAATTTCTGCATTAATATTAAAATCAGTTCAAAGCTTTTGGTTTAATCCTAGTATCCGGTGCACACGGGATTTGGCGACTTTATGATGAGCAGTAAAAACGAGACATATACGATGAGTAGTTAACAGGTCATTCAAAGAACATATGTAGCTAAACATACTATATAGTATGTATATAGTATATATACTATGTGTACTATATATGTATATATACTATATATGTATATAGTATATATACTTATATATACTATGTGTGTATATACATATACTATGTGTGTATAGTATATATATAGACATTCTTTGGATCATTTTTAGTGTTGGCGATAATTTAAGTCGCGCCAAGGCTGCAACGTATACTAGGATTTTACCAAGCTTTTTAAGAAAATAATCCTTATTTTACCATAAACAAATACTAATTAGAGAAAGCGTTTCTCACGGATGAATGAAGCATTATTTCTTGAAATGCACTCAGGATCTTCATTACGTAAAACAATGCTTAAAAAGAAGATAAGAGTAATTTTTCACTTAATTAAAATTGCACTATCTCTTGTGTTTGCTGAGAATAAAAACATATTAAAATTAATTTATATGTTAACATTTTTTTATCAATGAAAAGAGTTAATCTCAAAATTAAGAAAGATATTTTTCGACTCCTAAGTAAATTTTTGAAGAACTTATGCAGATACTTTCAACATTTTCCTGCTTTAAAATAAGGGCTAAAGTGCAGAATCACCCACTTATTTGTTTGGTGCTTTTTACAAGAGCAAGAAGAATGGGATTTTTGTCAATTATCTTTGACTTTTTAAGTGAAAATAGGTCAATGTGTACACGGATAAAGTCAAGGGAATGCACAAAGCCATTTTTGTGAAATTCTGGGGAGTATGTGCAATTCTTAAAAACGCGCCAAGCAGTGGGCGATTCTGCACTTTCCACATAAGGAAGTTAGCGCACTGAAAATAAAATCGGTTAAAATGATAATTGGAGCAAGGATAATGTATATACCTAAATATCTTACTTTTAAGCATAGGTCTGTCAGTAACACCTACAATTAATTTATCAGTAGCTCTTAATGCTGCCTCACTTAGCAAAACTTTATGACCATTATGCAAACGATCAAATGTACCTCCTAAACAAACCGTTTTATAAGTTTGAAATTTTGGTAAAGAATTCTGACATTCCACATTCAGGGCTGTAAACTGTTTATCATCTAATTTCACTATTTTGCAGCAGTTCTGCTCAAAGCAGATATCAATGTATCGGGTAATACTACAGTCGTCTTCGTCACTATTTGTCAAGATAAGATCGAATTTTGAAAATTTGTCATTAGAATTTATCTGTTTTTTCCCATTAAGTAAGACACGAACGTCTAAATTTTCACAAACACTAGATGCTTTGCTATAAATTATAGGAATGAATGAAGATAAGCCCAACAAATTTCTTGGATCTGATTTTGAAACTGGTTGATTAAATTCTGGTTCCAACTTGACGTATAAAAATTTCACATTTGTTTTGTTGGCACATTTTAAATATTGGGTTATCGATTCAATTACATAACGTAAAGGCCCCGTTAAAAGTAATAATGCTGTTTGATACATGGAGATTGAAAATATTGACTATTTTCCTACTGTAATTTACTACTCTTCCCAGGACGTTTAAAGACAGACAGACAAAGTAGTCAGAAGTCTTGTTTTGCACCCGGTACGTCTTTCTGCACTGATGGGCGAAAAATCAAGCTTAGGTTCGAAGGAAAGGTAGATAGAAAAACGGGCAATTTCGTATTTCAGAGAAGAGAAAAAAACGAACTTCGTACACTTTATACGAGTTCAAAAGGCCAGGAAGAATAAAATAAAATTGACACTGTGACAAAGCATATGGTTCCAGTTAAGCAATGTAGAATTACATTTATTTCCTGAAATCTTGATTTGTTGATGTTGTTTTTTAAAATAAAGCAATGCATAACGTTAATATTATTTTAAAGAATTTAAATGTAAATTTAGTAATTTATATACTAAAGTCCAATATAATCTAAAATTGCATATTAATAATATTTAAATTTCGACATCGAGCTAACCATCGGCTTACATAACCGGTCTGCAAGCTTTCACGTTTTGCGTTTGTGGTTTTGATTTGGATTGTGAATATTCGTGGGAAGTGGGATAATTTCGGAGTAATTAATACATGTTGTAGTGTGTTGGGCAAACGTAAACAGCTGTTTCAATTAAACATGAAAACTATAGTGCGACATTTGTGTGGATGCAGATTTCTGAATTTCATTCGCAGCAGTAAATCAGTTAAGTATATAGCAACTGCGGATATCATTTTGACCTTTTGAGGGACAATAATAGAAATTTATGATATCATAGATAGGATTTATGATATCATATAGAAATTATGTTATAGATTAGAAACATTTTAATGACTTGTTATTCACTGATAAAACTTCTAAAATGTAATTATTTTTTAACCGTTGTTGAATAATTAAACTTTGTTCACTCTGTATTGCTGGAAAATTTTGTTATTCAATTTCATAAATAAGTGTTTGAAAACTAGAATTTATTCTCTGTTCATTCTCCCCTTTCTTTTTATTCCTAGTGTGAATAACAAAAAAGTAATAATAGATTTAATTTATTTGACAAAAATGTAGTAATCTAGTAAAAGTGTATAAATATATTATTGATTCAGTTTCCTTAGTTCGTTATACATGATCAGATGTGATTGACTCGCAGGTTTTCTGATTTGACCCTTTGTTTAATAGGAATTCAGATTTCTAATTGTATCGGCGAATTTCTTTTCATCAAAATTTGGAAATGTAAAATTTAAGCATTCTTCCCCCCTTTATTTAAACTTTTGAATATGAGAAATTGCTATTCAAGGTGTTACTAATTTCGTTTACAAAAGCAAATTTGATATTGTGATTGCTTAAAACAAAGTTTAAATTCTCTAAATATTTTTTAAAGGTTAAGTTGTTTATATAAATCTTATAATTTCCAGAAAGGCATTTTAGGGTTAAACATATATTATGGCCAGTAATGTATTTTATTAAAAAGAAGACGCTGACTTTTTTTTCCTGACTGGTATGTAAACTACTCTTGACAAAATGAACAAAACTCCTTTTAAACATCCACTTTTTCTACTTATTCCATTAACAAATGACATCTTCTTAATTGTTACACCCATATTGCACATTAATGACAAAGTGACTCATTCTTTTAATTTCTTAAAACCAGTTACTGTTTCACTTTTAAACATTATTGTGTGCAATGTAAAACAGACCAGTTTCGTCTGTGATATAAATTTCAAATTTTGCTTGTATTGTTTTAGAAGCTAGGGTAAAGTATCTTTAATCCAATTCTTAGCCAAATGATTATCTGCCCCTTGCTTCTCATTATGTAATTTCTGATAAACAATGTTATCTGTCACTTTTCATCTTGTGAGCCAGCCATCAAAATTTTGGGTTTTCCTCCGCAGAGAACCCATTGGCGCCGTTGCATTTTTACTCGCCAAGCTGAGCCGAGCCGTAAACATGGTTTTTAGTGTATGTAAATTCAAGTTAGCAGACAATGGTAGTAAAAATTCACAGATAATAAGTATGTAGATGAAAAACTAACAGGTTAAACGTGATATACGAAAAAAAAATTTGTATTAAATTCAAGTTAGCACAGAAAACAATGTATTAAGCATAACGGAAGTAGAAATTCATTTAAAAAATAAAAATTAGTATTGTTATACTTACGTTTACATTATACTTCTATGTATTTTCTCTAATTCATATAGAATACTAATATTTCTATTACAAGTGTCATTTTTCATTATTAAGTACTTGGCCTGTTGATTGATGTATATCGGTAAGAGCCATGCCCATGTAATAAGTTAATGAATGCATGACCTTTAATACATCCATTTTACAAAGTTTTCAGTATATATTTTTTTTTTTTTTTCAAGTTACTTGCATACAGCTTAAAGCATTTTACGTTGCAACAAATACCTGTCCTTTTTCATAATATATTTCACAATACAAATAACCTTCAACAGTAATGAAATTTTCTTCAGTAGCATTGTTAAGTTAATAAAACTAGAACTTTATACATTTAAAAATTATTTTAGGATTTGGAAACCTCATGGTTCTGCGTGCTTACAGCTGTTAATAATTAAGAACATAACGTGAACAGCATGTTACAAATTAGCATTCACCCTTCCCGCCATATTTTCCTCCCTTGATCCCGAACTGATGAGCCGAGAACCGGCATCTTTCGACGAAAACTTCTTTAATTATGCGAAAATATTTCTATCTATTCGTTGTTAAAAAATTCAGAAAAAATAAAAAGAAATAAGAGAAGAATAATATAAATCTCCAAATGCGAACAACGACAACCTTCGCACAAGCGAATAGGATGAATTAGCTAGGTTACCACGTTTGAACTATTATCGCCAAAGTTGGCGATGTTTACATTTACCGGGTTCTCTGCGGAAGTGCTTCCAAAATTTTCTCTTAGTATTTTTGGTATCTTATTAACTGCTAGACATCCATTTAGAAAAATAAACTCTTTTGATAAATCAAAATATATATATAGTGTTAGGATAACATAAATCTCAGCAATGAATACAGTGTGTGCACGAACACATAAAAACAGAAGGCAAAATTTTTCTTTTTCCAGTCACGCAGGGATAAGATTCTTATCGCATGCGTGAGGAGAACTCGAGGCACTGAAGAAATATGGGGGAAGGTAGCCCCCACATATTTTACTGAATTCTATTGCTTTTGATTAAAAGAGCTCAAGATATTGGACTTTTTTTTTTTTTTTTTTTTTTTTTTTTTTTGAGTTTCAATTCCATTCAAAAAAGCATGATTTCGTTTTTTTTTTTTTTTTTTTTTTTTTTTTTTTTTATTTTTTTATCTGTTTTGCACTTCCTTAAGACATAGCATTTTTACTAGTCCATTTTCAGATTTATTTCTGTGTTTAAGTAAATTGCACAGTGCTGTTTGGGAAATTCCCATTTTAAATACTGCTTTTCTTTGGCTGGATTTACAAAACATATTGTAATCTTTCAGCAATTTATCCTTTTCTTTCAGGCTAGAATCATTTTGTTTAGTTATTTTCGACATATTAGAAGTCACGCACATAGCAAGCAAAAAATGTTCTTCCAGTGATTTTTTGTTCAAATCCAAAATTCTCATTTCTAGCAAGCAGGAAGATTGTACTTTATCTGTCAAGTCATCATCACTTCATGGTTATTATAGGCATAATCAATGTTTTCTTTTATCAACTGGTGTTAGAGAAAGGGGAACAGTTACCCATTAATCCTGGAAAATACTCATTTAGGTACTTTTCCGTTTTGACGGCGCAAACGATAAAGTCGCCAATAATGGTTTAACTGATGCCAGACGGAATATCTTTGTTGGTAACCTTTTACGCCTCAGTTTCAAAACAAGTTGAAGCCATTTCTTATCAGATTGTTTCTTTCAATACTGGCATACAATAATATAGAATTTTTACACGATATTTAAATTTTATTCCCTAAGACAATTCACGGTAATAAGTCAATTAGTTCTAAGTCAATTAGGTTCTAAGTCAATTAGAACGCAATTACACCGCTCATCCGAAGGCGAAATCAAGTGTTAAATTCATCAATTCTAATGAGAATGCACTAGCGAAGTAAAGCACTGCGGTTTTACATAATTTCTGAGTAAGCTATTCGTACGAATTGAAATAATTCTTGCATTTAAACTTGTATTACAAATTAAGATTTAACTTGAAATTAATGTAGATAATTACTGAGAGAATTAGATTTTAGTAGCGTAGTTTACGTGAGATGGAGATCACTTGGGGTCACGTGATACGAACCGGCGAATCAGGATATTGAACCATGAAATCATAGTAAATTCTTAAATTAATGTCTTTTTACAAATTTATTGTCTTTATTTATTGGCTTGTTACAAAATTTTAAACCATATTAAAATGTTTATGCCTTCAAAATAAAAAAAAATTCTTAGAATTAACATTTTTTATGTGTATACTGTATGTTGTCGCCAACAAAGTCTGCTTGGCGAGATTTGCGCCGGCGAAACGGAAAAGTACCCTCATTTATAATCAAGAACTTGTTACCAATGCCTCTACAGGACTGCTTTAGTTACTTATAAGATAAAGGGTATTCTGCCTATTTCAACTGTAGTGTGGAAAAAGATTTGCAAACAGTGTCTGACAGGAACAAGGAAAGAGTTTTATACTTTGTATTAGTGAATCCACAAAATGGTTTGAGACCTCCAGAGGTGCTGATACCCAGCGCCTCAGGAGGTCTGAAGCTATTTAACGAATTTACTAATGCAGGGTGTAATCCCATTTTTCAATCCCATCAGTATCAAAAGCTTTGAAATTCCACTTTAATTTACACATTTACATTTCTTTTCCTGGTAACTGAAAACGTTTTGTGATGTTAAATATGAGGCATGTTTTAGTAAGTATTGCTTTGATATAATAAACACAAGGAATTTTTTTTAACAATTTTGTTTTACATGAAAACCTTAATCTACTTTTCAGCGTAATTTCTATCTACATTAAGGCACCTATCGTATAGCCAGCTTTTGAATTTTATCATCACATTAATCTGCGGCATGATTTGATAATTATTTTTGGTTCCCAGCATGAGCTCCACTTCTGAAAATTTAAGCATTCTGTTACAATTTTATACAGAACATTTCCTGAAACTTGAGGAAACTTTGTAGATAATGGAAAAAATAGTAAAATATCTTTTTTTTTTAAATATTTTCATCAACTTTTCTGCATCAGGTCATCATTAATAATGGATGGTTGTCCATCTTGTCCTCTCATCCTCCTGTTTTATAATTCTCAAACCTCTTTAGTCATTCCTCAGTGCATCAGTTTGAAGAAAAAAGAGTTGTGATATGGAAGAATTTACAAGAGTGCTATGTATTCGCATAGTTAGCATAATCAAATTCCGTTGTGAACAAAGAGAACTTATTTCTTGAATCTGTATGCGTGAAAAAGTATTTGTTAGCAAAACTCAAGTGAGAAATAATTAGGAGGCACAGATGTCAATGAAAAATGGCTTGAAGTATTTTTTTCATGTTACAAGGCAGGATATGTGCAGATTAGAGCTATTTCAAAAGCAATATTTATATCTGCTTTTGAGGATAGTTCTTTTCAGTGTTGTTTTTAAAACAATGAAAGATTCAGCCATAGTAAATGTCCAATTTAAAGATTTCTCATATGCTGATTCCTCAGTTTAAATACCAAAAGGAATTCTTTAACTGTTCATTGCTTTACTGAATATTTAGTGAATATAAAAACCAATTTGACTAATACTATATTTTTTGAAGGTAGATATAATTCTTTTGTAAAATGGAATTTATGTTACTTAATATGTATATCAGTACCTTATTGAACCTTCTGATGGTCAACAAACTCAGGTTGCGTTCCAGTTACTCACTGCAGTGGGCACATACAAACGCAGATCGCATTACAAATGACGTATATTACACGTATTTGAGAAGTTTAATATTTCAACTGATGAAGGGTTAAAATGTATTATGTATCAGTTTTTTTCCCCTTAATTGTTGGCATGATACCTCCAAAGAAACCTTAGATTTTTTAAAGTAAAATTTTGGAAATGGCTCGTTTAAAACTGTAAAAGCAAATCTTTATGAGAATCTTTTAATATTCTGATTTATTTTTTCTTTTGTGAAGTTTTTGAACATGTAGTCTTATTTAAAATATTTAAATTTTTACCTTTTTATAATACAGTAGCTTTTCACGTTTAAGTGAGACTTTAGAAGTAAAAATTATCAGTGCTTTTTATTCTAAAAGTTAACCCATCTGTATGAAAAAAGTTTTTATTAATATAGGTTTATTTAACCATATATTTTATTTCAGATAAGGCAATTTCATTTTTCAATAAAAGGAAGACAAACAGCTGGAGTCGCAAAAGGCCAGGTAATTAAAATTAATAATAATTATAGAATTCGCTTAATAGATCTAGATAAATTTAAAGTATGTGTATTTAAAAACAAGCTTTAAATTTATGGTTTTTATTGATCTGATATTAAAAGACAGAACGTGAACACAAATGAAAATATTTTTAAGATTTTGGTTTGTCAGAATATCATATATTTTAATTCACTGATTAAAATCCAGATGTGAAGTTTAAATGCCAGATATGAAGAAGAAAAACATGAGAAATATTTGAAAATAAGGAGTACCGTTAGTCCCTTGTCGAGTATGAAACCTTCATATAACTGGAGATTCTGGTTGTTATGCTTTGAGAGTAACTGGAGAAAATGTCTTAATTCTTTGCAGTATTATCAAGAATCTGCTTTCTTGATAACATATTTTTTGATATTGTGAGGGCTTATATAGATCAGGAATAACTTCATATTTCTTTTCTTTTGGTAGTAATATAAGAATTTTTAAGTATTCATTCTTAATGTGTACATTTAATAAATATTGTCTGTTCTTTTCTCATGGATTCAAAACTAATCCTAGGAGTAGTAGGCTGATTTCATTCACTGTCAAAATGCTGGGAAATGCAATGTATCATATTGATGCACAAATCCTTTCATTTTTCCGTTTTAATACATTATATTTAAAGTTGCTTTTAGTAAGTAGGTGGGTAGACATTAAAATGTGACATTTTACCTCTTACATAAGGTTGAATGAGTTCAGAGGAGTTTTGGAGCCAGGGCAATGTGACATATTCATTATATTCCTTCAACCACTCAGTTATTGAATAATCCACATGACAGACTATATTGTCTATTAACAGGTAGAAGTATGAGCTAAGTAAGCTTTTGTGGTACAAATAAAAATGGTTACATTGTTTTTTTTTTTATGATACTGGGGATTTGATGAATAAGCGAAATCAAAACTGATCAGCCAGAGCATTTCATAAGTGAAATAAATGCTTATTTTGCTCTTAAAAGATACAGCATATTTATTTTTACAATTTCCATTCTTGTTTGAAACATGTTACTTATTTTTTACATAAAAATATAACAAACTTTTAAGAAATAAAGCTTATACAATGATTATCATGGAACACTTCAAGTAAAGATGTTTTTAGCTCGACTCGTTGTTGCCACATGGCGAATCTTAATAACCATTCAAAACATTACATCATGTTGCCACTTAGGAAATCTTAATAATTATTAAGAAACCTTAAATTATGTTTCACTACATTACTCCCCCTCCAGTAACTGTGTTACGATTTAAGAGATTCTGGTAGTGGAGTAATGTAGCATAAGCTAACATTAGAATTAAAAATACTAAATACATTAAATAAATACAATTAAACATATTCAATAATAGAGGTCAACACTGTTACTGAAACATAAATGACGTTTTATTAGTCATGCAGTTTGTGAGATTCGAGGTCGGTCATTATTGGTTTCAGATTTTAACAGAGTCCAAGTCTTGGTCTGGGTATCAGAAGTTTCGGGTTCCAGCCTTTGCTCACCTGATGTTAAACAATAGGCTGGCTTCAGCCTGCCAATTAAAATGTTTACTTCCTTACCTTTGATTTGTAACAAGAAGTATTTTTCCATTCTTTTAAGTACTTTGAAGGTTTCTTCATAACTAGGTTCTAATGGTTTCTTGACTCTTTTCAGTTCTTAGGAAAACATGAGTACACAAATTTAGATCGTTATGGACAAAAACTTTAGGAATCATTTTTCGCTGTACCGCAGAGGGCTTGAACAATTCCATTTGTTTTTGCAATTTATGCAAAAATGTTTGAGATGTTGTAGAAACTGTCGGTTTATCAAAAAATTCTCCAGGAAGTTTGATTGTTTTCCCGTAAACCATTTGTGCAATGGAATATCCAGAGTCTTCCTTTAAGGCTGCCCTAAGACCTAGAAGAATTGTTGTAATGGATTTGAACCACTTAATGGAATTATGACATTTGATAGCAGCTTTCAAATTTCGATGAAATCTTTCAATTTTGCCATTACACTGTGGATGATAGGAAGTTGTGTGTTGAATTTTGACTCCACATATAATTGCCAAGGTTCGAAATAGTTCAGTGCTCCATAATCTGTAATAACTTGATAAGGAACTCCAAAACGAGTGATTCAATTTTCATAAAACGCTCTGGCAACGGTTTCTGCTGTTATGTCACGCAAAGGAATGTCTTCCATCCAACCAGTATAGCAATCAATGCAAGTCAAGCAATACACAAAATTATCAGATGGTGAATAAGGACCTATTAAGTCAATGTGAACTATAGTAAAACGTTCGGCTAATCTTTGGAATATGGTAACAGGTAGTTTGGCGACATTTTGGTAGGCGATAAAGGTTACTACCTAGGACTTTGGGAATAATGTGAGAAGTAGTCAGTTCCGATTACGCATTATTTTGTGTGAGGGAAATGAGAGATCATGAGATATGTCATGTGACATTTATGGATGAATCACAGTTCTTTAATTGGAAAAGGAGGTAAATTTGTAAAAATATCTGCCATACTTTATAACATTAGGCTCATTCTATGTTCTGTGAAAGTATTGCTTAATATTTGGATCCCATGGCCCTATGTAAAGTAAATCCGACATTTTTATTGGGTTTATGTGTAATTGAAAAGAATTGCTTGAATGGTGTATGAGTGTACGATTAATTGCGGATAAGTATGAATGTCCAACATGTGGGAATGAAATGAGATTGTGTGAAGGGAAGGATATTGCAAATAAGTTTGAATGGCGATGCAAGAAATCTGGTGAAAATGGACATTTTGTGAAGAGTGTAAGGAAGGGTATGTGGTTTGCTGAAGTCGTTTGAGTATGGGGGGAAATTTTATTAATTTCTTATTAGTGGGTGAATAGACTGCCAGTTGACTACTGGATTATTTAATCTATAAGCAAAGTTTATCCGCCATGTAATCAAGATTGTGAAGAAGATTAGGTAAGTTAGTATTTTTAATCATTTGAGGATATTATTTTTATGCATGTAAGGAATAAATAAATGTAAGGAATAAATAAATTAATATGGTATTATTGGGAAATTGTTATTAGCAATGAATTAGTTTAAAGTAATTAGGATTGTAAGCTAATTTTTATTAATTTAATGTATGTGCTTATTTATATTTTAAGTAGTGTTAATCAGGTAATTTCATATATGTTCTTTTTACCGGGTTTAAAGATTGAGAAAATTGTCATGCATTTTCGTGAAATTTTTCTAATTTATGAGAAAAAAGCAGTATACATGGATATAGTGAAGAGTGTGCACAATGCCATTTTTGTGCAATTCTGGGATGTTTTTTTAAGTAAAAAATAAGTCGACGTGTACATGGTTTAGTGATATTTTAATTTAATGATCGGGATTTTGTGAGTTATATGTTTGTAGTATTTTGGAATACGTTTGAGTAGAAGTAAATGTGCATGGAAAGAATTTAAATATTTGACACTAAGTATCTAGAACCATTTTTAATGTTTGCATTATAAATTTGCAGGTGACGTTTATAATAGATAATTTAGAGGGAAAAGTTTTTGGATATTTTATTTATTTTATACGTGCAAATGTTCATCCTTGGAAAGGGCATATACTTTTTTGTGATCAGGTAATTTCATATATGCCCTTTTTACCTAATTTAAAGATTCACAAAATTTTCCTGCATTTTCATGAAATTTTTCTAATTTATGAAAAAAAAAGCAGTATACATGGATATAGTGAAGAGTGTGCGCAATGCCATTTTTGTGCAATTCTGGGATGTTTTTTTGGTTGATCTTTGGATTATGGTAACTTGGCGATTTTTTGGCGAAAATTTGGCGACCAACTCTGCTACAGCAACCCTCTATTTTTTTTTCCGCCGCCATTTTGTCTTCACGAAGTAAAGGCATGTTTCTTTTCTTTTTAATTACTGAACACTTTTTCCAACAATCTACTAGCCAAATTACACTTATACTAGAAATTTTATCTAACAAAACTGCTTAATCATGACAAATATTCACTGCAAAATTGGGAAAAAGTGCACAATAGCAAACTCCTTGCACGTTTTTCACAATAACACATACACATAAACCATGTACACGTCGACTTATTTTTACTTAAAAAAAACATCCCAGAATTGCACAAAAATGGCATTGCGCACATTCTTCACTATATCCATGTACACTGCTTTTTTTCTCATAAATTAGAAAAATTTCACGAAAATGCATGACAATTTTCTGAATCTTTGAACCCGGTAAAAAGAACATACATTACACTTTATAAAAATAATGAATAATAATTTGTTCGCAGAGATAAGTAATTTTGTGTATTAAATAAAATAACTAACTGAATATTAATGAATTAATTATAATTAAATGTAGTAAACAATAAGCAATTTTTGTCTGTTATGACAAAAAATATTTTAAAAATAATTGTTCATGCCAAATTAAATGATTATTAAAAATTAACAGCAGTCAACAAGCAGTCATTCCTTAAACTATTTAGTACAAATTGTGCAGAACAGCTTTCATCTATACATTGTAAATTTATTGAGCAGTTTGAATGAACTTTCTAAGGAAACATAATTAAAAGTAAACCTTTTCGTACTTAAATTTAAAATTTCAAAATGTTCAATAATTTAGGGCTTCTTACTCGAGTATTAATGCAGATTTTTAAATAAATTGGTTTTGTATAAATTTTCTGCTTTGTCTCTTTTGAGTTAAAATTGGTGATTAGTTTAATGTCAATAGAAAATGGATATCTGTAGTATCTTATGCATTATTTATACATATATCATTAATCATAAATATATTTTTAAATTCCGGCACTCAATGTTTTGCATTTACTATGTTAGTTGTTTTAATCAGTTTACCAAAAGATAATTATTGGCCATTTCTTGCACACAGGGAAAAAAAAGAAAAAAAAGATACACAATACCATAAGTGTGTGTGTGGGGGGGAGGGAATTTGCAATTGTATCAGAAATTAACAAAATTAAGGCTGTGTCAAAATAAAGTGAGAATAAATAAAGGTTGTTGTTTGAATGCACATAACTCAAATGTTAGGCTGATAAAATTTATTTTGTGAAAAGAAACACTTCAGAGATCTGGAGCTTTCCATAGTCGTACAACTCTTCACAATATCACAGAGTACAATCAGTGATTATGCTTCAAACTACTGTGAGCATTAAACACAGTGCAATGCAGAGCACATCTAAAGAGTGAAGCAAACTCGGAGATATCTGAATGCTTTGACGCACACTGAACTAACAGCTCACAACAGCAACAACTGAGGGCAGATGCTGTCTTTGTCTTTCTATAGTTTTCACTCGGCCGGAGATATTTCTAGTACTTTTTGCTTCTCAAAATTACTGGAAGGCATATGAGGGCCAAATACTATTACACATAAAATCAGTTACAATTATTTAATTACAATACATATTACGGTGATACAGGGACCAGACCGAAATGTCGCCGAATGGTCGCCAAGTTTGGGAAAGAAAAGAAATTAGTTTCCAAAACCGTTACCAGTTTGGTGATATCTTGCGAAATTAGCAAGATAGCCATTTAAATGTTAAATAATTGCTTTTGTATTCTTACAACAGTTTCAAATATAATTTTACTAAGATTATCCATATATGCTCAAAATTCATATTGCTGAATATTATATCTATTTGTCTTTGTAAATCTGTTTGTCTTAGAACTATTATCATCTTTTCATCAAGTGCTTGCAACTATCTGTTTATTACTAAGTTTTCCATTAATTTACATAAAGTATTTCTAAGGAAAAAGAGATGGCCAGCAGCAATGGCAGAATTTACATTGAAGTTCAAGTATGTTATTTACATGGCCACAGTGATAGAATTAAGCAAAAGTTTAAGGGGGAAAAAATGGCCAAAATCCATAAAGTTCAATGACTTGGACTATATGGTTTGTATACGAAGTTCATTGAATATTTTCAAAATAAAATTTTGAGCTGTTTTTCAAAAGCTAAATGCCTTTTCCCATAATTTGTGTTTTAGGCATAGAATCAGTCTATGAGAAAATAAATGGTAAGCCATTTTAAACTCCTGATTTTCTATCAAGATGCAAGTCAGAACTGACCTGCATAGTTAGAACTCCTTTTCTATAAAAACTCTAGCTCAACTTTTTTGAAAAATTAAGTTTTGTCAATATACCATTTATTGGAATGATAACTGCAGGACTGCTTTTCTCTGTCCTTCCCCCCCCCACACCATCTTGCAGGTTTGAGTTCAAATTTCAATGAAAACAACTTGCTTAAAGTGTGCAATATAATGTAATAGATCAAATCTGAATTTTTTATCGAGTTGTAAATCTGTAACAAATATAATTCCTTAATTTGAAGTAATTGAAATAGTCTGAAAAAAGTTACTATATTTTTATGGAAAAGTTTAATTTTACTAGAAAGAAAGTGCATAAGCATTACTAATTTTATACAAAAGTACTTTTTTTCTCCCATAAAACCTGGGTAAATGGGGTTTGTGGCTGAGTTGTTAAAGATCATTGAGTACTGGTAGTTCAGTTCAAGTTTGAAGCCTGGTGAAAGAGCATAATTAGTTATATGGTTTTTATCGATGTGTAAATGAATATGAGCCAATATCTCTTAGAAAGTCCTTCATAAAGTCCTCCCTGCCCTTATGCAGATAGCTCGTATGGGCTTTGCCATATCCAAATAATGTAAGCCAACCTTGATAAATGTTGTGGTTTAATATTTTTATAATTCAAGAATGATTTTTTTTCCTCCCAGATTTCACATGATTATCCTGTAGTTGACCATACTTATGATGCAATTGTTGTTGGTGCTGGAGGTGCAGGCCTTCGAGCTGCCTTTGGCTTGGTTCAAGAAGGTTTCAAAACAGCTTGCATTACTAAATTATTCCCTACAAGGTCACACACTGTTGCTGCACAGGTATATATTTTTTATTATGTTGTTTCTATTTTATTTTAAAAAGAAATTTTGTAATTTTAAAATTATTAGATTAAAATAAAGCTGTATGAATAATTAAAACTCTTAACTGATGAAGAAGACATACTATTTTTGGGGATATATGTGTATTAAGTTGTGTGAATATTGGTCGATATACCAAATAAAACAGTATATTTTTGTATTGTAAACCTCATCAACTGAACATGAAGATTTCTTTGAACTGTCTCATTACTGTTTCATAGTATTAATGTGATTTTGAAAGGTTAAAAGCTTACATTTTATGCTATCCAATGTTTTCTCTATTAGTTTCTGCTAAGACATTTCAGTCATAATGGTAGAAAATGTCTTTCGTTCACAAAAATAGCCACATTAATAACGAAGACATTTAATAGCTTACACAAGAATTTTTTTAACACATTGATAGGGGTAAGTTAAAAAAGTACTGCAAGGTCAATTTGACAAATGTATACAAAAATTTATTAAGAACGGTGTAAATGCTAACAGTCTGAAAAAAATCAAGAAATCTGAGTTCTTTGGGTTTTACTTTTGGTTGTTTATCACCCACCCTTATGATTAAATATAGCATAAATTTGAATAAAAATGATGGATAAGTTAAAAGAAATTGCTACTTTTCCATTATGCATCTGCAGTGCTTTTTAGGTCCTCAGAAAGCCATATGGAGGTTCAATCATAGGGCCATCTGGGAACCAAATCATTCATTTGTGTGTGTTTAATTTAGCACATTTAACTGTACGTGTACAGTTGAAAATCCCACCAAAATGCAAGGCAGTTGCATAACAGAAAAGTACCAAAAATTTTATCAAATGTAAAATATCCACTCTTTGATTGAAATTTGAAAACAAAAGGCTTTAATTTTAATTATAAAATGTATTACTCTGTAACTAAATGTACACACTTATGTTTACATTATTAGTGTACATCAGCAGATGATGTATTTTCTTTATTTATTTCATTAGAAATATCTAACGAATCTGCATCAATGTCTGGTGAACTCTTGTCTGAACAGTTTTTAGAAACCTCCATTTCAGCTGTTTTGTTTTTAATTAGTATTTAAAATCCTTATCTTAGGCATTAAATTATGACATATTTTCTTTTTACCATCATACTGTGTGAATTTCAAGCTGAAAATGCTAAAGTATTCTTATTTTTATTGTTCATTGTCTAAACTATTATGATTTATAAAATGGACATGAAAATGTATATGCAATCTGTATATGATAATGCATAATGGTCTGTAGAATTTACTGTTTCTCTCTTTTTATGCATAATTGTGAATGAATATTAATGAAATAATAAATTCAAAATAAATTTTGATACATTTGTTATATTAGGGTGGAATAAATGCAGCTTTAGGGAACATGGAACCAGACGACTGGAAGTGGCATATGTGAGTGATTTTATTTAAATTTTTTTTAGTTAGTATATGTTATTTAACTGTGTAGATGAAAGAAATTCTTTTTTTAAAAATTATTATTATTTTCAAGCAGAATTGAGCATTAATTAGTTTCAATGTAATTTCATTGATAATTAAGTTATAGTGTAATTTCTGTTTCCATTAATTCATTTAATTAATTTAGTTGCAATGTAATTACATTTGCTGCACTTGAGTGTAATTAATTATTAGTGCATACTTGAAAGAGTATTGCAACTGAATTACATCTGGCCTGCAAATACACTACAGCAGGTTATTTGCATAAGGAAATGCCTCTGTGGTGTACCAAAGAGAACTGGCATATCCAGTTACATGCACTGTAAACCATAAAAACACTGACATGCTCAGCAAAAACTTTGGTGAAAAACATCAAAATTAAAGTAGCAGTGTCAAATTAATACAGTACAAAGTCCGTAATCCGGACTCGTCGGGACTTCGGCGATTCCGGATTAGGGGTTTTTCCGGGTTATAGATCATCAATTTAAATCTGGTAAGATGGCATTCAGAAATTATACAATTAAAAATATGAAATGGTAATTTATGAAATAAAAAACAATTATGATCTAAAGGGTATCAAAATTTACAAAAAAAAAAAAAAAAAAAAAAAATTATATTTATTTGTTTACTTGATTAAACATTTCTTTCAATGTAAGTTGTTTAAGATGCTTCCACAAAAAATTCAAAAAGTTCCTTTTTCTTGTGTCATATGTAGTGGACTTTCCAATGCCATACTTCTCGCATAATTTTGGGACGGATAGGCCTTTATCCATTTTTTGCAGATATTCAACTTTTTGTTTAATGGACATCAAAACATGCTTCGCTTTGTAGATCCTTTGGCAGCTTGAGAATTGGAAACTCTTTGACATAATTGAAAGTTCAAGTTTAATTTTTATAAAATTGTTCTAACAGTCTGCAAAAAATAATAAGCCAGATCCAATTAGAAGGTTAAGGAACAGCGCAATCTGCAACATCAACTGAAATAGATAATTAGATAATTTGAGCCTAGCTTATACTGTCCGTTATACATTAAGCATGCGTGCGTAAACGCATTATGCGTTTACTAGCTTTGAGGTCCGGATTATGGACTTTGTACTGTACATGAAAAATAAACATCTAAAAAAAGTAATTGCTCCTATTTAATGTTTCAAACAGAATTTGTCAAGGGGTGAGTATTTAAAAACATTAAACTGGGTTTATATTAATGAGTGATGATTGTTTATAAATGGGTTTATTAATGAGTAATTTTGTATGTTTCATTCCTCTTGACGCTGTAAGACTCTAAATTGTAGTAAATTAATTTGCTTTTTAAAAAATTATTTTTCAGGTAGTCTTAGATTGTTGAAGAGCTTCCCCGACATGTTATTCAACCTCTTCAAATTAAAATAAAGAAAGAACAAAAACATTATTAAAGTAAAAAAGTGCTAATAAACAAACTAAGATTAAAACACACAAAATATAAAAACTCATGATATATAAAATTAAAATGTTTAAAATTATAACTAGTTTCTCTTGCAGTTTACTGCATTTTTATACGTTATGAGTTATAAAATTTAAAGTTTTATAATTATAACTAGTTTTTCTTGCAATTACCTGTATTTTTATATGTAATGTGTTTTTATATTTTGTGTGTTTTAGTTTGCTTATTTAGCATTTTTTAAACTTTAATAAGGTTTTTAATCTTATTTTAATTTTAATTTGAAGAGTTTGAATAACATGTCAAAGAAGCTCTTCAGCAGTGCAAGACCACCTGAAAAATAATTTTTCAAAAAACAGTCTAATTTACAATGATTTAGAGTCTTACAGTATTAAAAGGAATAAAACATGTTATTCATCACTCAGTAATTAACCTGGTTTAATGTTTTAAATACTTACCCCCTGACAAGTTCTGTTTGATTAATTTATTTTTGATATGGTTATTTACTTTTTATGTAATAACTTTTCATCATTACTTTAATTTTGATGTTTTCACCAAAGTTTTTACCAATATTTGTATCTCGTACAATTGGCCTTTTAACCCCATCTAAATTTTCATTTTTACTTTTAACATCCCTTAAATATACCCCAACCTATACCTTTTTCCTTAGATAGGATAATCTTAATTTTTGCACCTCTTGAACTTAATATTATATACATACATTTTCCTTCTTGTAAAGCTTCAAACAAAGCTAAAACTCATTTTTTTAACTCAGAAAAGGGGTGGAAGGCTGTTTATTTTTAATATTAAAATTTCTATCTTTAAAATCCTCTACCTGCTTTTTTGCATTAAAAGTGGTCTATCATTTAATCTAAAAACTGTAGGTTTTCATTTTGTGATCTACACATTTTTAAATTCATTTTTTTATTTTGAAACTTATAGAACATACATGTATGATTTCAACATGCAGTAACAAGATTGCTCTGAAAGAAGGTTTAGGGTGTTATTTTGTACCATAATTAAATATGTTAGCTATTTCTTCTTCTCGTTTTAATAATATGATTTTGTGTATCACTTTTCAATGTAGAAGAAGTCCTCAGCATTAAAAAGTGAGGGTTTTTTTGTCCTGGTTGAGTTTTCCTTGAGAATATGGTTCAAATCTGATATGGCTGAAAGCTTTTGTGCTAATTCAGTCCATTGTCAAGCTTTCTTGCAGACTTAGTTAATTCATCAGCTAGTTTACATAACTGAATAACGTAATAATGAAGTTTCTCCATTTTAGGTATGATACAGTGAAAGGCTCTGATTGGTTAGGAGACCAAGATGCTATTCACTATATGACTCGAGAAGCTCCTCAAGCTGTTATTGAAGTATATATATAATTTTGTATTTTTTATTTCTATATATTTATTTTTATACTTTTTGTCTGGAGTAACATTTATTGAAATTCTTACTAATCTAATTCTAACTTTTGTAATAAAATGTAATATGGAACAAATTTTGCAGATGCTAGAATTGAATATATTACACTTGTTAAAAAAAGGATGTACACAGAAGGAATCATTTAAATGATGAAATTTGCTATTTTCTCTGAGCATGAGGGAGGAAAGCAAATCATTGAATGAAATTTTATCATGATGTAGATGATGAATATAAATATCATTTAATCCCAAACATGTATATGCTGCTCTAGAAAAAGCCACCCTGATTGGTATAGTGGTTATTCATACTGCTTGCTATACTAATGGGCTTAGGTTTTGAAACCTGTAGAAGGCATGGATGTGTGTAAGTGTATAGTGTTTGTATGGCATGGGAGCACTTAAAATGCTGGCGAGATAGAAGTACTCTTGAGTCGCTTGGTGATAGGAAAAGAGGGTAGACCCTTAGATAGTTTTCTAGAGTACTCTACCTCAAAACTGGGGCAGAGCTGACAGTTAATATTTCCCACTAGTACTAACTCTAAAAGAACAGTGTTATGTCTGGTTAGACATTAACTATTGAGAAATAACTTTGGCATGTTGTAATACAACCGAAATAAAATATACATATTTTATATCTACTATGAAACAAAGGAAAGATTTGAGTGAAGTACTGTGCTGCTTTCAATGCTGTAAAGAGAAATCCAAAGGCGTTAAGCTGTTACGAGAAATAGGCTCCAGTTAGGTAAAACTTTATATATGTGTGTGTGTATATATATATATATATATATTTTCTCTTTACCTACTGACGTATGTATGTATATAAATATACATACATGTATGTGTGCATTTATATATATATAATTGAAATCGAAAAAAATTTCCTAATACGTGCACAATAGCTGCAAAGTAATGTAATAATAATTTATTTACTAAAGTAATATTGAGTATTTTATCTCCTAATATAAAGTTAGTAGAATGTATTTGAGTGAAAGTAACCCAGAAGCATTGAAATTGAATCCTGAAAATAATATTTTTAAAAGGAACTTGAATTTTAATCATGAAAAATAGAAATGGAAACTTTTAGAAATGAAAATTAATAAACTAAGTAATTATCGTCATTGATCAGAAATTGGTTGACTTTTCAACGGGAACAAACCAACTCCCATTCAATTAACAATAATTAATAAATGCGAAGGTGTTTAATCTTTTACTTAAGGAAGAAGTATTATGGCAAACTGGCAATTTGAGTTTAAGCCAAACTTGTAAGTTAATTCAATTAATGAGATAAATTAAAGTGAAGTATTATAAAGAATTCATGTAGCAGTTCCATTAAGTTAATGAGTTTTTTAGATATCTTGAGATATTATTGCCAAATTGAGTAGTAGTAAAAAAATTTCTTTGCTAGATTAAGTAATAATAATAATAATAAAAAAAGGTCCAAAGGGACAATTTGCCCTGAAGAACTATTAATTTCATTCCGGCATTTTGCGTTGAAAACTTTAAAAGGCTGTATCACTTTTCAAATCGTTGCCACCATACATTATCGCCCTGTCTTATATTTAAATAAATTAAATAATGAGGAATCTGCATAAATGTATGCATGTTTCTCACATTGTGATAAAACAATGGTACCTAGAGCCATCAAAACTTGAATAACGTAATCTTCCATAGAATATGGGCATGTGGAAGCCCTAATTTGAATTTGAAATTTGTTTTATTATCGATTTCAGATTTTGTAACACTTCAACGAAGTTTTGATTAAAAAAACTAAGCGATTTCAAAGCAAGCAATGACAACACTGTACGAAAAAAAAATTATCTCCAGTGCGTGAGACTGTATAGAAAATTCTAAAGATATGCTCATTTTAAAATTAATTTGCAATATTGCTGTTGAACTGAATTTTATGGTTTGAGTACGAAGAACATGATATTTAATAAATAAGGGTAACACACAAAACATTAAAAAAATGCCCCTTTATATGTAATTTAAAATCTGAAACTTTTTTTTTTTGTTTTTTTTGTTTATTTATTCATTTACTCTCACCGGCAAGATTCAAGAATGTGGACTGCATAATCTCGCTTATCTATAACTATGCCACTGATTCCAAGGCATTTCAAGTCACTTCCCATATGGAGTTTGTGACTTCCATAGTGAAGGCAGGATCAGTACACTGTTTTATATTTTCCCTGATGCCTGTATGCAGTTCATCATTGCTGAGTACAGACCATGACTCATTTTCAAAGATAACATAATTGCACTGAACACTATATCTTGTTGACTGAATTTGACATCATTGCAACTGTCAGCTAGCAATTTTCACTGGTCTGTGGTACACTATAGAATGTACTCTGAGTGCAGTTTTCCTTTTTGTACATTCTCTGGTAGCAGTGAGATTAGCATTTTTGTACCTGTAAGTAGTAGAAAGAGATGTAGTTGATGCTGTTTGTGTAGTTCATATAAGTATTCCTTTTCTAATATTTGTTAGTTTTCCTAATTGTACAGTGCATTCTATCTCTAGATTATGTCTTTCATGCATCATCACTGAATAGTAAACTTACTGTCATCCAGTCCTTAAGACTGGCTTCTTTCAACTCACTGATAAGACTTATCTTCACCCAGTAGCCCACATTATACTCTTTTTCTTACTTTTAGATTTATTCTTGATAGTTCTTCATTTCCTTATTGTTGCACAATTTAATTGCAGTGCCACAGGCACTATAATCATGATTCTCTGAGTAATTTCCATATTCACTTCTTGAGGTATTTATGTTCATAATTACATCAACATTGAACACTTGTCTAGGAATGTGTATGTATATATTTGTTAAAGAGCGTAAGTGAAAACGTTTGTTATTTGCTCCAGTAAGTATTTTAATTAGCTTTTCTCCATTTCTAGCTTGAAAATTATGGTATGCCTTTTAGCCGAACATCAGATGGTAAAATATATCAACGAGCATTTGGTGGGCAGTCATATAATTTTGGTAAAGGAGGGCAAGCACATCGTTGTTGCTGTGTTGCTGATAGAACAGGCCATTCACTTCTGCATACTCTTTATGGACAGGTATTGCAATAATAATAATAACAATTTTTTTTACTGTTTTTATGATTTGTTCTTGTGAGATGAAAATGTTTTCTATGTTTTAGTCACTGCGATATGACTGCAACTTTTTTGTTGAGTATTTTGCTTTAGACCTGCTTATGGAGAAAGGTATTTGTAAAGGAGTGATTGCTTTGTGTCTTGAAGATGGATCTTTACATAGATTCAGAGCAAAAAATACTGTATTAGCAACAGGGTATGTTTAATTTTTGAAAAGTAATTTTAAGTGTAGTTTTAAGAGTTGTTTTCTAACATAAATTTGTTTTTCTGAATATATTTTTTCAGATATTTATTTCTAAATATTTTCAAGATTGTTTTTTTACTAGGGTTTACAATAGTTTAAAAAAATACTCTCATGTAATGTAAATTTTGTATTCTTGAGTAGATAACTTATGGTAAGTTTTAGAAAACATTTTTATTTTTAATTATTTATTTTGCTGACTTTTTACTTCTACAGAACAATTTGCAAATTATTGCTGTCATTGCGAATTATCATTAGGCAATACAAAAATAGGCAGACTGATTATTTATTAAACTATGACCTGTAGTTTACAAAACAAAATGAGAATAAAATTGTTTCGGATAGTGTATAAAGTACTGAAATTTTTGCATTAAGCAAAATGAAATGGTGTATAAAGCTGCATTTACACATGCATGCTGATGTCAGTCTTGATGACAAATTGTGTAGCAGAGCATGAGATTAAAAGTTTTCAACTTCTGAAGTACTAATATATTCAGCTTTGTAATTGCCTGCAGAGGTGAATTTAAACAATGCACATGCAAGAATGCTTTTATGTAAATGGGGGCCTAACTGCAAAAAGTTAGAAACACTACCTGGTTAATTTTATTACCAGATACATGCTACAAAATGTAATTAAGCTATTAATCATTTCTTGATCATATTGCAGCCTATTGACATGTCTAATTACGAAGTGAAACAGGCACTCTAAGCTGGATCTGATCTCAATATGTATGCTAAGCTGTTATCTTCACAACTAAACTTTTACATAAGCTAGGCATTTATATATGTACTAGCCTACATTGTCTCTTTTCCTGTTTGAACTTAACTGTATGCATTCAAAAACAAATTGTGTCTGAGCATATAATATATATGCAAGCCACCTGATTATTTTCTCAATGATTGTCATGAAATGTTAAAATATGCTTAATCAATTCTAAACCGAGTTAAAGAAAAGTATTTTAACATGAAATAATTTTATTGTTAAATATTATTTTTACTGGAGTTAGAAACCAGATGGACCAAGTTTGCTTCAGTTTGCAAATGAATTTCATGCCATTAAAAAAATTATCGGCTATTAGAATAGTTATGCCCACACTTGTTAAGACTCCTCGAGACAAGAAAGAATCTTATATATTGATCCCCCAAGTTAAATATGTAATGCATTCTGTAAATCATTACTTAAGTTGAATTTTTAAATTGCTTAAGTGTAAAAGGTTGCAATATTTATCATCATATGCATGTATGAATGTAGATTTTTTTTTAATGAAACATCATGCAGCACTATTTATCTTGGATATAAAATATAAAAGTATCCAAAAGAATGTAAAAATGAGTGAAAATAACTGTTTGGGTCTTGTGACAGGTAATTTGCTCTGTAGTGGGAGAATCAGTGCTGGAGATTAATGATAGTGAATAGAAATTTCAAGCATTTCTACTGTTCTCATTGTTGAAGTTGAGATCATTTGCGTTGTCCTTTTGATTTTAGTATATGAGCAGCATCTTACAAATATATCTAGAATTGATTGTATATGCACATGCTTTTTGGCATTTTAGCTAGACATATCAGAATGGAAATGGCTACTAGCATTTTCAAACTGCTTGGTGTCTGGATGCTAGCCCAGTTTTATAAATCTGTATGCGAAGATGTAGCCTTCTCCTGTGGATTATCAGGCGTCAACTTCTACATCAGATTCTTGATCCAGTCACACAACTATTTCTCTTCATGTTTGTGAAATCGGGCATAAATTTTCTTTTTAAAGGTTATGGCCCTTCATTATTAGGATACTGTTCATGCTTTCAATAGGTTCAAATTCCGCGAACAGGCTGGCTGCATGGGCGTTTTCGTGGTTTTCCCCATGTGTAACTTGTATACGAGCCAGTTTTCTTAGAAAGTCCTCCACAAAGGCATTCCTTCCCTTAGGCAGAAAGCTGTCGAGGCTTTGCCATAATCACATACACACACACACGCTTTCAATGATTCAAACTTTTCCTGTCACTATCATATTCAGTGTCAAAATAGTCAATTTATATTTATAGCTGTTGTGAATATAATTTTCTCATTTTTATATACATGAATTATTTAAAATTTTTCTTCTGAAGTAAATGGGGTTTTTTTTTTTTTTTTTTTTTTTCAAATTTATTATTAATGCATGTGGTTTTGTGCTTTAAATTTATTTCAAGAGTAAATAAACAGTGAGCACTAATATTGGTAAACAAGTGACTAAACTAACTGCATGAATATTATTTGAATGCAAGGATTACGATTTGGAGAAATTGTTTACAGAATCCTTTTTCTGATTAGTAGGTTTCAGTTTTAATTCTAGGGCTTTAGTGCCCTTACATAATTGTGAATTTACATAAATCACATGTTATGCAAATCGGTGGATTCTTGAGGAGTACAAAGAAACCAGCTGCTTAATTACAGTAGCAGCAACTTAAATCAGGAATAGGTCCTTGAACAGATATATTAGTCTCCAGAGTTTGTATCTTAGTTCATTTTGAAAAATTATTCTTAGTCAGACCCTGAGATGAAGTAAATTGGAGCTTTCTTATGCAAGTTCCAGATCACCGTTTCTTAATCTGGTTTTTGTAAAGTGGGGTTTGGGGTTGCAAAATGAAATGTTGGAATCTTGAAAATGTAATTCATGTACATGAATTTAAAGAAGCATTAGTTGCAGTCCCTTCATTATCTTTAATTTAATATATTACATTTTCTCTGCAGTGCAAGTATAAAAACCTAATACTGACCAAGTTGAGCTGTAAATATTGTAATTTTCGTGGCATTTTGGAAAATTCCACTAACCCCATTATGATAGCAGTATTAATTGTAATTTCAGCATATAAGTTATTTGAGAATTAAAATATGCCACAAATGTACAATAGGTGTACTGAGAAAATGGTCAATGCCTCTGGTATAGTTTGGTTACTTTTGTCTTCATCGTAACAAATATGATATCACAAGAAAATATTGGGTTCTAATGAAAGTTTCCCGCCACTGCAAATATTGGCTGCACAAACAGTTCGTATTGCCGTATTTAATCATACTTTGTCAAATGATGTTTGGTATTTGAAAGAAAGAAACTTGCTTTAGAAAACTGTTATGAATTTTGTAAAAAAATATCATTATCATCAAGTGCAAGGTGTCTGAAATGGAACTGTCACACTACCAGATTAAAACCATCATTTACTTCCAGTTCTGTTATAAAAAGTCAGCTACAGAATATTACAAAATCATGTGTACAGCTTTAGGTACTAATGTTGTGTTATATGACTCTGTGATATGTTTCTATTTGTGCACTTTGTGTGCTGAAGTTTTTACTTTTCTTAACTTTATGGTATATACATAAACACTTTGTAAAATTTTTATTGTTTCCAAAAAAAGAAAGAATTAGGCTATATACCAATAAGTCAATAACTGTCATTTTGACAACATTACTGAAAACAAGCAAAAATGTTTAAAGCAGTCTTGTAAAAAATATGTAAATAAGTGCTTCTGCATTGTGCTACTGTGTAAATAAAAAGAGGGCTAAAGCTGGCATCTCTTGCAATTTCTTTAAAATATGAAGTTGTTAAATGTGTCAGGATATGGATATATATCTACTTAATAGCCATTTAAAGCTTCAAAATATATTATCAAAATGTGGTAGGATAATATCAAATAAAAAGAGTAATGCAAAAAATCCAAGTGATAATGAGAAAAAAATAAATGAATAGCACTGAACAGAAGCTTATGAAAATTTTAAAGGGCCATATGGTCAGGACATTAGATCAGTTCGATGCCTTTTAACTCTTTTGTACATTTAAAAAATATGCTTCTTCAAATTATTTATGTTACAGATAATAACAAGAAACCTCTCAAAAATATATAATTTTATAATTCTCTAAAGTAACTGATAAATCAAAATTAAATGATATACACTGGTAATCAGAATTAAAGGATGATTACAGAACTAGAACGTCACTGTTACTTAATGAGAAATTATTAGTAGAAATTTGTACAGAAGCATTAGTTAACATAAATTATAGTGTTTGGCAGTTGATTGTTCGCAAAATATTGAAATTAAAACAAAATTTAAGGAAATTAAAAAATGATTGAAAGAAATCAAGTCACCTCTTGTTAAATTTTATTTTTCTTTAATATGGTGTATGGTCATCTATCTTATCATATGTATGGCAAATATGCATATCTCACTTCTTGATTTCATAGACTTTACTAAAGTGTTGTTCAAGTCTTGTGGAATTGCATACCACTGTTCTAAAAGTGCTCAGCTCCTGGGGGTCTGGGGAGGAATTTGGCTAGCTGAAGTTTGGCACCATAAAGGCATTCCACACATGCTGAATCGGGCTCAAGTTGGGTGAATAAGGTGGATAGTCCATTCGAATGATATCTTCTGTTTACAATTATTCTGACACCACATATGCTTCATGAGGCCAAGCATTGTCATCCATTACCGAAAACTCGGCCAGCAGCACCCCTAAACAGTCTAATTTGGGGTTCCAATACTTATTCCAAATATCTCTTGAGTGCTTACAGAACCTTCTTGAAAGACATGCAGCTCGGTGTGGCCATTTGTTATACTTGTCTAAAATCAAATCTCTGCGGTGTCTACGAGCCGACTATGGCAGAAATTGGTCTTCTGTTGCAGATGTTGTTTGTGGTCACCCTTAACCAGGCTGTTTATCAACTGATCTAGTGCTTAAAAAGCAGCTCCAAATTCTTGATATGACACTTTGAGTGATATTCAAATCTTGGTTGACCATCATTTGTGTTTTAACACCCTCAATTCTACCAATTTTTCACCACTTTTGACCTTTACTTAAATGATGCCTTTGAGCCATAACTACTGAATAGTGATTACTCTCAGAAACCACATTCACTTTAAACAACACTACAAACTGGAACTTCAGCATGCGTCCATTACTCACTACATTGGCAATTACCAAATTAGCATTGCAGCTCTATCATATGCACGGAAGTGCAATTTTGTGTTCAATTGTATTTAGTTAGCATAAATAATTACATCATTGGTCATTGGTTTCAACATTAACATTATGAATGAGTTCACAAATCTCATTCATTTCTGAAGGCTGTTTGTGAACCTAAATATTTGAAACTGAAGCTCTTTTCCCCATAGGAATTAATGTAAAATGATTTTTTTTAGAGGGGAGGAGTTAAGAAATCATTATGGCACTGTGCAATTTGCTGACTGATGGGGGAAAAAGAATGTGTTGTATATCTTCAGAAATATGACATTTTTCCTGCTGTAGAGAATGTGGCAATTAACATTCCATGAAGTTGTCTTTGGGAAAACAAGAGTGTGCAATGCCAGTTTTATGCAATTCTCTCTCTCTTTTTTAAAATTAAAAACAATTTGCTGTGAACATGAGGAGAACAGCACACAAAAAAGGGGAGAATTAAATGCTTTAATGTGGATGTTTTTTTAATTTTTATTTTCGTTATTTATTAGTTGCTGTTTTTTGTACTTTATACAACACTGCCATTTATAATGTTATTTTTTACATCTTAATGTGGCAAAAAATTAGCTGCCAATAGTCAGAAAGTACCCATTTTTTAAAAGAAATGTTTCCTCCCTCCCTTTTTTATTTGTGGTGCTTATGTTCTAGTTAAATTACTTTAAGAGTGAATTGCTAAGAAAGCACTTTGTCATAGTTTCATCGTCACCTAAAACACTATATATAAATATGAATATGATAATGGTAGTCCATTAAAGCTGTTTTCTGTCTCTTATTGTTGTTTTTTTTTTTTTTTAAATTTTTTTTAAAGATTTATATAAGCAAATCATTTCCACCATTAATTTTGAATTCATTCCTTTGTAGAGGATATGGACGTGCATATTTTTCATGTACTTCAGCGCATACCTCTACAGGTGATGGAATGGCCTTAGTAGCTCGAGCCGGTCTTCCTAATCAAGACTTGGAATTTGTACAGTTTCATCCCACTGGTATTTATGGTGCTGGATGCCTTATAACAGAAGGTACATTTTAGCTAAAATTAATTGTAATTGATATATACTTGTACTATGTTTCTCTAGTTCTAAACTAAATGAGTGGACTGTATAAAGAGAGGACTAACCATTTTATTAATGGTAATTACTGCATTCAGTACTACCACATGTTGCCGTAGCCGGAACCTGTGACCAAGTGACAGTTTCTTTCTCTGTACTGTATTCTAACTTAACAATAATATTTCATAAAATGTTTAGTCTCATCGAATTGAAAAGATTTTTATGTTTATATATTTTTGTGAAGACTGTTAAATTTTTGCTGAATTTAGTTTATCTGCCCTCTTATATGTTATTATGTGAAATAAAAATTCTGCCCTCATCCTGAATAAATTTTGAGTTTGCATAAAATCGGTTGTTTCTTGATTTATAACTTTCACAATTCCAATGAAGTCAAAAATACATTAATATTGATAGATCAATGATTTAATTTTGACTGTGTTTCAACACACATTTTTATTTGTTTTAATGAATAGCATATTTTAAATCATTTTCTTATGTGACACATTTTGTTTTTGCATAAAAAATTAATTTCATTAATACGATAAAATGTAAAAAATTTGAGCCTATCTAAATGAATATCCATATGGTTTTTCCTTTGATTTTTATTGAAATAAAAATGCATTCAGAAAGGTATTTAGGCTGGTAAAGAATAATTTCATTGTTAGTGTTGTAGATAAAAGTTTTTTATATTATGTTTCACTAAAATAAAAATATTTTTAATGCATATTTTCCAAAATGGGATTAATAAAAAGTTAAAATTCTCTCTCTTGCATTTCGTAAATAATTTTCCTAGAGAAGACAGAGAACCTAATAATCTGTAAACTGAGATGAATTACTGTTCAAATTAGTTCAGGTATTTGGAGTTTTATTTTAATTTAATAGTTCAATATTTGCTCAGTCTTCATGGTGTAGTTACATTTTTGAAAGGGACTTTTCATTATGTATGAGGTACTAGAAAAATTTTGTTTTAAGTTTTAATTATATGAGTATTTTATCTTTAAGTAAGAAATTTCTAAATACATAATTGTAATACTACTAGCATATTTGAATTTAATTGAATATATTTTAATAGACTTCATGGAATGCATTCATTGCATTAATGATGTGTTTTAATTTTCAAATGATGCTGATTTATTTATTGAATTGCATCTTCTTTTTTAGCAGAGTTGAGAGTTGCTAATGTACAAATATCGTCTAAGATGTTCAATGTAAATGTTGTTAGTTTCAGTATATATTGTTTGAGTTCTGTGTATTTTACATGTTGGTATATAATGTTACTCATTATTATTATTATTAATATTATTATAATTTTTCATTTTTTTAGGGTGTCGAGGTGAGGGTGGTTTCTTAATTAATAGTGAAGGTGAAAGGTTTATGGAGAGATATGCTCCTGTTGCTAAAGATCTTGCTTCCAGAGATGTTGTATCACGTTCTATGACAATTGAGATCAGAGAAGGAAGGTAATTCATGGTCATATAACTACGTTATTTTTTTGTATTTTGTTTTCATCAGTTATTTTATTATATTCTAGTTGACATAAATTTCTTCCTTTTATACATTAAGCACAACTAAAATTATATAAGTTATTAATTGTTATAATCTAATGTATTCATATTGTGTGTTGAGTGCTACTTTATTACTTGCTCTTCTACTTACCTTGAAGGGTGATAGATTTAAAGTGAAGATAATATGGATTAAAAAATTAAAGCTTTATTAAATAAATTTAAATAGAATTTAATAATTCTCCCAAATTTTTATGCTTTTGATGATCTAACATTCAAATTATTAGTCCTATTAAGAGGTAAGTTTTTTTAAAGCATTTTAAAAATGGTAACTAAATGCATAATAGTAATAATAATAATCTGTCTAGAATAGGAGTTATGTTAAGTAATGTTACAAATGACTACACACTGTATTTTTATGAATAAATATTTATTGCACATTTTTGATAGAAGTGGCATTATTTTTTTTTTATGCACAACAGAGGCTGTGGACCTGAGAAAGATCATGTTTATCTTCAGCTGCACCATTTACCTCCAGAACAGTTAGCTACACGTTTACCTGGTATATCTGAGACTGCTATGATTTTTGCTGGTGTGGATGTTACACGAGAACCTATTCCTGTCCTTCCAACTGTCCATTATAATATGGGAGGCATTCCTACAAATTACAGAGGCCAAGTATGTAGCATAACGAACTGCAGACATTTTCATGATATTATTTTGCTTAGCCAGAGTTAGAATAATGTATATATATATTTCTTCAGGTTATAACACATGATGCTGAAAAAGGTGATGTAGTTGTTCCTGGACTTTATGCTTGTGGAGAAGCTGCTTGTGCTTCTGTTCATGGAGCTAATAGACTTGGAGCAAATTCTCTCCTGGATCTTGTTGTTTTTGGACGAGCGTGTGCACATACTATTGCTGAAGTTGATAAGCCTGGAGATCCAGTCCTTGAACTTTCCCCAGTAAGAAAAAGTAATTTTTTGTGTGACAATATTTGAAATTTATTCATCATTTATCCATTAAGAAGTTTTTTTCATTCAAATCAAATTCTTTACAAGTTCAGAATCTTCAACATTTTCAAATTATGCCCTCCTTTTTTTTAAATCTCTAAAGCTTTATTAAATATTTAAAGACGATCCACAATGTTATTTCACCAATCATCCAAACTATTTTAAATAATCTGTGATGGAATTTATTAACTGTCATGTATAAAACATTGAAGTGTGTATCTGTTTTTCAGCAGTAAATAAAATTTTTCATTTATCAGCAGTCAGTTCTATGGTTTTCTTTGCACATTTTTGGAGTTAGGCGATAGCTATTTCATAGAAAGATTGTTATTATTAGTTTAAAAGAAAGTTTTTCTCCTCTTAAAATTTCGAAACCCGCTTTTGTATGTAAATATTATTAAATGCATATAGTTAGTTTCATTGTAATTTCTAATTTTGGGAGTAATGGTTAAGTCCTGTATGAAAAACTTCTTGAGAGAAGAAGCTACTATATTATTTGATATAATAATAATATTATAATAATATAATTATTAAAAATACCAAATTGAAATTGGAATGTGAACAATATAGACGTTAGCTTTTCTAAACTTTTGCTGTTTGTACAAGTTCATAAAACTAGAAGTATGTAAATGGGAAAAGTTTTTTTTTGGGGGGGGAGCATCCATAAAACTTAGAGAACCAATCCAGTGGTGCATAAAAACACATTATTCTTAGATTGGAGATGGGTAAAAATGCTTGTCCTTTGTACCTAATATAATAAGTAATACCTCGAGTAAAATTTTTAATACTGTCAGTTCAAGCGAAAGTCCAAAAGCACATAAATTACGGTGTTAATTAATTTTGTTATGAAGACAGTATTAAATATTTTTTCAGTTATTGTAATTTATTTACACTTCTTACTTTTACATTGATTTATATGTTTTGCACATTTTAGACTGATGGTGAAGAATCTGTTGCCAATTTAGACAAGACGAGACATGCTAATGGTACTACCCTTACATCACAGCTTAGGTTACAAATGCAGAAGGTTAGTTAATGTAATTATTATTTTTTTTAATGAAAAACACTTTGTTTTATGAAATAGTTTTTGCTAAGTATTTTGGTTGTAATTTGTCATTTTTACTTTTCAGACTATGCAGACACATGCAGCTGTTTTCAGAACTGGTGACAGTTTGAAAGAAGGAGTTAAAAAAATGTCAGAAATATTTCAAGGACAGGAAGACCTCAAAGTATGTTAATAGTAATGTAGTTTTTTATTGCAGGATTGTCTGTAATTAGATTGTTCTAAAAACTGGTATTTCATGTTTGAATTAGGTGTGTGATCGAGGTATGATATGGAATACAGATCTTGTAGAAACTCTGGAATTGCAAAACCTATTATTGAATGCTGTACAGACAGTATGCAGTGCTGAAGCTAGGAAAGAAAGCCGAGGCGCTCATGCACGTGAAGATTACAAGGTAAAGTGTGCTTATAATATATAGTTTTAATTAACTTTAAATTATTTATTACTCCTAATACATTAATTTTATTATTACTGTATTTATTACTTCAAATACATAAATTTGAGAGAATTCGCTCATAGAATGCATATAAATACTTTCATGTCAAGTTTTTCCATACATTGTAATATAATTTATATACTTTGTAATTTATAAAATTTCTGTAACCTTTTTAAATTATTTACAGATCATTTAATTGATCATAGAAATTCTGTATTAATTTATCAGTGATGGAAATATGTCTGATTGGTTTTTACTGATTATCAAAACCAAATATTTTATTAAATTTTTTATATATACTTAATGTTGTTCAAAAAGTGTTTTGATGTATTGACAAGTATACTTGTTCATGGCATGGAAAAACATAAGTTTTACAGTGGGTATATTCTCTTTGATAGTCAACAGCTTAAATATGCATTCTATTGACAAACAAGCTTTTAGATATAATGCATTAATTTACATTAAAAAATACATGGAGAAGTAATGTTGGAATCTCTGATTTCAAGCTCTCGAATCTTCAAAACATTCACCTCAAGGAAAATACCGGGTGGACATAATTAAACTAACAGTGCTCATAGTGTTCTGTAGCGTGATCTAATTGCGAGAACGACGCCACATTTTGTAGGAAGATTAAACAAGACCGGGGGGGTGAAGGATTCCACCCCCCCAAAAAAGGACTAGTTCCAAAAGTTACCGCTAGGGGAATATTTGGCGCTGTGTAATAGAAAATAGAGTGTTAACAAATGCAAATTAATACAGAATAAGATTACCTTTTATTATGCACATTTTCTGATTTAGTTCAAGTGCAATATGGCAACACTTAAAAAAAAAGCGTAAAATCTACATAAACACCGATAAAGTCTCAAGATCTGCAATATCACATCCGCTGAGCAGAAGAAGAAGTTCTTTATTCAAATTTCATGTTACATCCATTCGCATAGTGCCAGCTGCTTGGGTTTTAAAAGGCAATGTGTTACGTTTCGAATCAATCGGATTGAAAGTTTATGTGCAATGTCTTCTTCTTTAGTCGAGCGTGCGTTACTGGTCAAATTCTTTTACCTCAACCAGTGCAACGCGTCAGCCGCTCTTCGCGATGTTAGAACGCACAAAGAAATGCTTAAAGGTAACGGTCCTGTGTCAGTTAATGGGCTAAAAGCAATGGTTGCGACGTTTGAGAAAACAGGTTCTCTGAAGGTTCAGTCAGGCAGAGGACGAAAACCTGTACCAGGATACAATCGAAGCAGTTGCCACGGCGATTGTTATTCCCCTAGCGGTGACTTTTGTAACTAATTTGTTTTTTCGCGGAATCCTTCGTTCCCTGTCTTGTTTAATCTTCCTACAAAATGTGGCGTCATTCTCGCAAATAGATTGCGCTACAGAACACTTTGAGCACAGTTTAATTATGGCCATCCGGTACTTTTAAATGTTATGATACTATTGATCTTTAAGAAAATCAAATTATCCTTATACAGTAATTTCCATATGATCATCTCATAGTGCACTCATTTCTTTCTTTCATGATAAAAAATTGTTGGAAAATAGGAAAAAAGGAAGATTGTGCTTTTAATTAACAACTGATAATATAAATGAGCAAAGCCTGATATAAAAGAGCAAAGCTCAAGCATTTTAAATTATATATGTATTTAAGAAAAAGAGCAATAAATAAATATGCTAAAACAATCTAAACATCTTGTAAAAATAAGTCATGAAATTTATTGATATTATACTAGCATCCTAAATTATATATGTATTTAAGAAAAAGAGCGATAAATAAATATGCTGAAACAATCTAACCGTCTTATAAAAATAAGTCATAAAATTTATTGATATTAATCTAATAAAATTGATACAAAATCACTAAATCCGCTTATTAAAAGGTCAGCCCTCTTTTTTTTTTTTTTTTTTTTTTTTTTTTTTTTTTTTTGTGATGATCAGTTCTGTCCAGTAGATAATTTACATTAAGAAAAGAATCTGATGTAATTTAGCTTATCTCATTATTTTTTTATCAATAAGTACAGTCACTATAATAAAATATTGGCATGCTGAAGATTAAGAATGGTTCTTAAATTGTAAGAAAATGTATCTAAGGAATATATTATACTACACACACACACACACATATGTAGTAATGAAATTATATTAAGTATTAAAATTTATAACCTTCCAAAGTTTTACAAATGCAATAGAAAAGGATGAGAACTAGTAAGAACAATTTTTAGAACTAAAGCAAAAGTGGAGAAGTCGGGGCCAATCATTAGAACAGTCAGATTGAATCATTTTTTGCTCTTTTCAGGGGAATGGACAAAAATAGTTAAATGTGTATATATATATATATACATATAATTGTATGTATTCAGAATGTAATATATTCTTTGGAGCAGTGGATCATGAAAGTGGTGAGCCATGGAAATTTTTAACTAAGGGCTTGTGTTCTGTTTTACAAAAACAAAATATCAAGTTATAATTAAATATTTAAATTTTTGCTAAAGCAGAAAATATAAATAATCAATCATGAACAAGAAAACATTTAAAAATAAAACTTTGCAATTTAAGAAAGAAAATCACAAAATATCAGAAATCACATAGGATAACTAGTACATTTAATTATGCAGTGCAATTTATGCCAGGAATTGCCACAAGCTACTTTCTTCTTCTTTCATTCCAGCTGGCTTTTAATGTTCGAGGCTAAGCAATGATTTTTGAAAAATGTTTATGTAAAGTTTAGATTAAATTCTCTTTAAAGGTTTCCCAATTAATGAGATCACTGAAACAGTGTAGTACTCAACAGTCAATTTATTGATAATTGATAGAATTTTAACTAATTTTAGGTTGCTTATGGTGTGTTTAACTGAAACAAAACCAGACAAGACCCTAAGTCTCAGGAAAAGAATGTATTTTGCTTGCGACGAATAAATACTCAAACAAAACAAATAAGGAATTTACAAATTAGAGATAAATTCAACAAAGGGATACCAGATGCCTTGCATGCCCCCTAAAGGTCACTGCTCTGTACACTCTGCACACGGAAACACGGTCACTGCTCTAGTCTATGGGTCAAATTGATGAAATTTAACTTGCGTTTTTCATGTCTCAAATTTTTCTGAAATGATGTGCTGATTTTTCCTCATAATTCAATTCTACGATTCAAATTCCCATATATTAAATTTTACGCCCAAATATTAAAATTCCCATATATTTATCTACGCCCAAATATTAAATTTTATAAAATTTTGTGAGAAATTTAAAAATTTACCTTGGCACACTTTTTTCAGTTTGCAACAAAAATAATTCACTTGGCGAAATTCTTAATAACTTATTTTCCTTTCCCTAATTTCATTTTTAAGTGGAAAAAAAAAGGTGCATCTTTCATTCTTTAAAATAATTTTAACCAAGTGCATAAAGCAGATTTGATGTTAACATTGCTTATAACAAATATGCCAAATTTCAAAATGTGCCAATATATAAAACCACGTGTATTTATGGAAATTTTGAATAAAAAGTTCTAATTTTTTTTTACATATATGCCTTGAAATACATCTACTTTAAGGTGATGGTAAAAATGTTATAGGTTATAATCCGAAACACTTTTTGAAAAATTTATAAAAATTCCTAAAGAATACAAATTTTAAAAATAAGTTAGAAAATAATTGCGGAATTCATTTGACTTGAACCTAAATTTCGAATTACAAAAGAAGGAATCAACTAAGTTTTTTTAAAAAAATGTATTAATAAATGTATACCAAATTCAATTAACATTGAGGAGCTAAAATTTTCAAAGCTTAATTTTTAAAAACTACTTGTGTGGTTTTCACAAAACTTGGCACTTTGCATAATTTGAATTGCAAAATCAAAGTATGGCAAAAAAAACATCAGTATCAGAAAATATCCAATTCTGTGTTAGAACAATGTTATATATAAATCCAATATACAGTTGAATCCGGTTAATTGGACCACCGGATAATCGGGCCAGCCACTTTTTTGGACCAAATCCTAAAGAACCAAAACAAATCCTATGTACATAAGCCTAATATTATTCGCTTATTTGGGCCAACATTCCATTTAATCAGACCAAAAAACGTGAGAGCAAATAAGAAACAGAAGCCACAAGTCGGCCATGTACAGCGGATGTACGGGTGGTCTGCGACGTATGGGAGGATCTGTAGTTGCGGCTCCCCAGGAAAATGCTTTATCAAACATCAGGAGTGCATGACAAAAGCAAAACCGGTGTGAGGTGAACATGCGCACCATTTTTTTTTTTTTACCTGCTCCTCCGAGTTTCGAGGAAATGAACAATAGAGTGTCCGGCTCCACCTGAAAGGAATTCCCGCCTGTCAATCATGATTAAAGTTTACACGAGAAAGCTATAATTTCCTCACCTTTTTGGGATGAATTTAGTGCCAAAGCCTTGAATGGCGAGCATTTTATCTCCCTCTTGACCTCAACATCGTGAATCCGAAACACCAAGGTTTCTTCAGACCACTTTAGTCAGTGAACTGTGTGAATGTCTTGTCTTCCCTGCCCAAATGCCACGACGGGACTTGACATTAGCTGAAAAAATTGGTTTTCTGGATGAGATCAAGCAACAACCACAAAACACTAGTCAGCGTCGGTTGGTGGAAATAACTGGATTGGCAAAAGACTATAATTTCGCGCTTGATAAAGCAAGAGAATGAGCTGCGTGAAGAATGGGCACAATATGAAGAACGAGGAGGAACTTCCAAAAAACGGAAGCGTGAAGGCAAGGATCCAGATGTCGTTAAAGCCCTTAATGAATGATTTGCCATTGTTACTGGATGATCTGTGTGAGTAAGCAGCCCAATGTTAAAATGCAAAGTAGAAGAACTCGCTAAAAAGCTGGGCCATGATGACTTAAAAGCTACGGAAAGATGGTTATCTCGATGGAAATCTAGACATGACATAAAATTCAAGAAAGTTCTGGTAGTGCAAATGCTGAAGAGAATGGAAATCAACAAAACTGCCCAAGCTTCTTGAAAATTGTTCAGCAGATGACATCTACTTGCTGCAGTTTCTCTTTTTAATTTGGGTACTTCCCCTCTCTATGTTAAAAATAGTTATAACTTTTTCTGGACTGCATCATTTTTAGAATAATCCATATCATATGATTTTTACATAATAATGATGCCATAGCTTATTTGAAACTGAAACCTTTTCTCTTAATAAGCTTCCATACTGAAATAACTATGCACTTTGCTTTTGCTTCCGATACTGCCAAGACACTGCCACACTTCTATCTTCCTACTGCACAGAAATGTAAATATTATACTGCACAGAAATGTAAATATTCTGAATTGGGTATGGTTAGAAGGCCAAGTGAATTGTGGGCACAAGTACCAACTGAAATAAAAATGAATATTTAATCTGCCTTGGCTGCCAGTTTTGCTGTTCATTACCGATCAACATTTATGAAATACAATATTTCTACATCTATGCTATCAACTTTCCTACATTATTACATCCTATATACTGCTTATTCTATATTTAAAATTTACATTTGGATTTGGATTTTTGTGTTTAAAGACTTTTCTTAGCCAATTTATAAACAAGAAGTTGAAATTACTATTTATAATGCTGTTTACTTCTAAAAAAATAATAAAAAGAATTCTTTCATGGTTTTAAATTCAATTTGTGTTCCTTGGAGATGGTATATGGAAAGATTTCTTATTATAACTTATATATATACACACTCTTTTGCAAAAAATTCGAAGCACCAAGAAGGACTTTTGCGATTGTGACAAAATTTGGTATGCAAAAACATTTTGATTGAACATGCAAATGATCAAGGTTTCAAGGCAAATGAACAAGAATTGCGATCATAGCGCGCATTTTTAATGTGCAATTCGCAAACTATAAAACCAGGTAACAGGGGCGGAAAATTTATCTTTATATGTTGCTGCCATTGTTATTCCGTAAAGAAGCAACTAAAGATGGCATTACGATGATATCCAAGACCTTACAGACAACTAAACGACTTTTAACGTGGTCGCATTGTAGGGCGGTCAAAACGAGCAATAGGCCGCTACCTGCAACGTACATACTCTGCTGTGCAAAGATGTTGGCAGCAATGATTGCTACAAGGAAATTGCCGACGAAATGAAGGCTCTGGAAGGCCAAGGAGCACAAATGCAAGGCAAGATAGGATGATTGTTCGCCATGCCTGAACTGCCCCAGCGATATCATTGTCGACTATTCAACACACTACAGCTATGTCTATACATCCCTGGTACCGTCCACCATCTCATGGCGCTTGTCTGAGGCGGGGTTATGCTCACAGAGACTTTTGTCTTTGACCCCACAACATCGGCGTAATCGTCTGGAGTGGTGTCGCAGCCGATCATCATGGCTGCCATCAGACTGGCACCGTATATTGTTCAGTGATGAATCCCACTTCACTCTTGAAGCAGATGACCACTGTGTTATGTCTGAAAAGGACGGGGGCAGTGGTCCCAGTCAGCCTTATTTTGACAAAGGCATATAGCCATAACCCTTGGTGTGATGATGTGGGGCACTGTTTCTTATGACAGCAGGGTCATCTTTAGTCATCCTCCATACATTTTTAACAGCTCAGTGATATGTTGATATCATTCTGTGGCCAGTTGCATTACCCTTCATGACACGTCATCCTGGGGCCATTTTCCAACAAGATAATGCCAGGCCACATACCACTCGCATATCTCTGGACTGTCTCTGTGCAGTTGATACTCTTCCTTGGCCAGCAAGTTCACCAGACCTTTCACAATGAAGCATATCTGGGGCATTGTGGGCTGCCAGATTTGAGCACCACAAACTATCGCAGATCTGGAATGACAACTGATGAATGTCTGGCAGAATGTGTCGCAGGATGACATTAGGAACCTCTACCACTCCTTGCCTTGACGAATTCAAACATGCATTGCTGCCAGGGGCGGTTCGACCAATTTGAACACTCAATTGGTGATTGTAAGCCATGAACAGGTACTATGACCTTGCTTTTTTAACCATTTTATTATATGTGAATGAGCTATACACATATTTCATTTCATCAAAAACAACCACTTTCTTCATGGTGCTTTGATTTTTTTTTTAAAGAGTGTATATTATATTATCAACTTATATTTAAATCATGTAAATCATGTATTTTGTGAAAGTTTTTGTACATATCATTAAATGCTGAACCCCATTCAATTTAGTCTCGTGTCGATGAATATGATTATTCCAAACCCTTGGAAGGACAGACCAAAAAACCTTTGAGTGAACACTGGAGGAAGCATACTTTGTCGTGGATTGATAAAAATGGAAAGGTATTTCTTTCATTTTATTTCAATAATTTTTTTAAGTTATTCTATTTATATTTTTCAGAAATTTTCACAAAACTGTTTTATTGCAGCATGCTATAGTTTACTGCTGTTTAATCCTATCCCATCCATATTTGAACATTTCTCGCACATTTATGTCTTTATCAAATCTGATCTGAAGATTTCTTGATGTACTTGGCTGCCATTAAGAAATTTTGACTGCATGCTTTCAATCTTCAGAATTTCCAAATTTTCTGATTTCATCAAACTTATAGCAAAAGTTAAGATTGTTCAGAACAGAACTTGTATTTATAGGGTATGTGATTAAAGGCCAACTCTCAGATATAGCTATAATCGTGAAGGTGATCAAGAAGAAGCACAGATGTTATCAAAAATAATTTGATGCTACCAAGTTTGTTTGCTGTATTTATATCAGCACCTTGCAGCATTCTTGTGTATTGAATTTGATAAATTCTTACATGAAGTCATCTGAAAGATAGTATATTTCTTTTGTTCTTAGAAATTGGTTGTTGTTTTGCATTTTTGCACTTTTCTTCAGGTTGGGTAGGATGACGTTACTCAGAATTTGTGCCTTTCCTATAAGATAACAGTTGAAAATTTTCAACAGTAACTACCAAGCCAAGTGAACTTTCTCTAGTTGTGTAATGTCTCACCAACATTTTCTTTGTTTTATTGGTCACTTGTGTTTGTGACAGAACTCATCACGTAAAAATTTATTACATGCTGTGATCTGGTTTCATGTTTCACAAAACAAATGAACAGATATGCTTAGAAAAAAGTGTATCATACTGAAAGCTATGTAGTGATCTTCCAAATTTTTGTTATTTTATGCTTCACGCTGACTGAAAACAACATCTCTAGCAGTTTTTATAAATGTTTATGTTATTATGTGTTTCATAATTGTTTATTTCTTTTTGAGTATTTCATGTTTCCTATCTTAACTCCTTTCTTTCTCAGTACTTGAACATAATTTCATTAAAAATATAAAAGAAATATAGTTAAAGTGGAATGTATTTATAGGAACTAATTTTAAACTAAATCTGCATAACTTTGTTATACAAATATGTGTGTTTATTTATGTTTGTTGACAGATATGTAGATTTGAATTATTTGATTAACAGAAAGAAAGCAAAGACTGTGGAAAAGGATTCCTTTGGAGAAGATTTGTTAAGGCGAATTTTTTAAAAAAAGTTCATTAAAAATTTTTTTCAGCATTTTAACGCATTTCTGTTATGGTATCATTAACAGGGCTAAACTAATCTTCGAATCTTATCCAACTGAACTGTTTGCTTTTTAGGTGGTAGAAAAATGACTTTCATCCGTAATCACCTTGCTTAATTGCTGTATGTACTAACATTTTCAGTGGCAGTATTTGATTATAGTTTATTATTAAGTACAACAGGTATTTTCAATAAATGGTTAAAATACATTATTTACGTAGCTGTGCGATCTATTTTCCAGAGATTCAGGTAGAAATAAACAAGCATAATTGCTTAGATTATATGGATTATGGCAAAGCATACAAAAGCTATCTGGTTAATGAGATAAATGCTTTTGTGGAGGATTTTTTAAGGGAAACTAGCTTGCATTCATATTACAGTGGGGAAAACAATTAAAAGCCAGCCAGCCAGCCTGTTTGCCGAGATTTAAACCAGGGTCGAACTAATATTGTTAATGGTCTTACCACTCAGCCACTGCTGGACATTGAATGTAGGAAAATGGTTCTTATATTCCATTTGAGGTCATTCTACATAATTATTGAATGAACTCCAAATTTCAGTAATGATAATATAACTGTGAAATAGGCCCTTAATAAATATAGCCAATATTTTCAATCAATTGTTAAAACATATTATTTTTTTACAAGTGGATGCACTTGAATGTACTGTTTTCTGCAGCTTCAGACAGAGAAATAAACAAGTATAATATTTTCAAGAAGTGTCGAAAGATGTGGGAAATGGTATGAATGCCATTATTTTCTATCCGAGACCATCCTGCTTAATTAATCTGTGAACTTCAAAATTTGGTCTTTATTAAACACAAATCATATTTGCAATAAATAGTAAAGTAAATTTTGCTGTAAGAGAATTATTTACGGAGAATATATTTTGGTTAAAAAATACATGTAGTTTTTTTTAAGTACGAGGGCTATCCAGAAAGTAGATTACGTTTTGGAATAAAAAATAAACAAAGTATAGGAAACAAATTTTATTATATACAGATGAAAGCCACACTCAAATACTACTTTTCTACATAGTCACCATACAAATTAAGGCATTTATCGTAGCGATGTACGAGCTTGGAAATTCCTTCGTCGAAAAATTCGGCCGCCTGCGCCTTCAACCACTTCGTTACCTCTTCTTGCCTTCCATCTTGCACAAAACTTGTGGTAACCAAGCTTTTCGCTGATGATTTCGTGCAACAAACTTCGCGAAATTTGTGGAAAACTCAAAGAAAGTTCCATTATTGTGAAATTTCGATTTTCACGGACTTTAGCATCGACTTTTTCGAGAAGTTCGGCGGTCACTATGCTGGGTCTCCCACTTCGATCTTCGTCGTGAACATTGGTTCGGCCATTTTGAAATCTTATGACCCACTGACGCACTCCACCTTCAGTGATAATGTTGTCCCCATACACTTCACGAAGCTGCCGATAGATTTCTATCGGTTTACAGTTTTTTGCAGTCAGAAACCTTATTACTGAGCGCACCTCGCAGCTCGCGGGATTTTCAATTAACGCAGACATTTCAAACTGTCACAGTATCTGAACGGAGCACAGCACGAACCTCTCACTAGCATGGCTAGATGCAGACTGAGCTGCGCAACGCTCTGACCCCAAGATGGCCGCGCTAGCCCCGCCCCTAGCGGACACAGACGGAAACGTAATCTACTTCCTGGATGGCCCTCGTATGAGGTGATTGTTTGATTTAACGTAGCAATATCTAAGGGTTAGGAGGACTTTGTAAGGGAAACTGATTTGTGTTCATGGAAAGAAAACCACAAAGATACCCAGACTTCTAAATTGTTCGCCAGAACTTAAACCCAACTCTACCTACCACTATTAAAAAAAAAGTCTTAACTACTTGCTTTCTGTTAAGCCAAAAATGTAATTGCTTATTGTAATTCTGAATGCCATTATGTTATGAGTGCAATTATAGTTGTGTTAGTTATAATTTTAATTATAAGGTAACTACAGTGCATTGCCAACTTCGTTCAGTTAATAAAAATTTTAAATTAAATTTGAAAGATAAAGATTTTATGCTTTGGTAAATGATAATATTCTGAGAAACTACTACATGCAAGGGCACATGAATGTTTAATTAAGATCGTGCATTTCACGCAATGCAGTACTTCCTTGAAAGCTGCTTCTAGATTATTTCTGTTTATCTTATCTGTCAATTTTCGAGTCATGAATGTGTCTACAAATTTTGTTTCCAAGAGCGGTATTTTATATTATAAGTTAAAAATGCTCCTCCTTCAAAGTGCAATAAACCTCTAATATTACACATACAGTTTAATTTTAATGTAGTTGTAATTATAAAACCTGCTATTACAATTGCATGTGTTTTAATTTTACAATGTATAATACAATTACATTGTCGAATTAACTTTCATTGCACATACATTGTAACTGAGTTATAGTAACAGTTACAATTATATTGTAATTGTATGATTTATAACAAAACTACATTGTAATTGCCCAAATTTTTAATCACAATTAAATTGTAATTAAATAGTTTCAAATAATAATTACATTGAAATTGTAACCAAAATTACATTGTAATTGCATTTAATTCAGTTGCTAATCAACTTCATTGTAATTGAATTGTGACTAGTTATTTTGGTTTTCTACATTTAGTACTCCTCAAACTAGCAGTTCTTATTCTATCCAGTCAGTATTTTGTTGTAGATTTCATTGTAGATAATTTTAACTTTCTTTTTGCTGAGATTCTGTAAAATTTATTATTTAGACAATGTTATTCTTTAAATAGTATAATAATTTATCTACAACAAAGAAGGAAGAAAAGAAAAATTTCTTATTACAGCAATATTCAATGCAGTAATTACGAAAGATTACATCTTTCGATAAAAAGTTATGTTTTCTATTGTAACATGTGCATCTTTAAATAAGAATAAGTTAAAATAAGAATTTTTAAAAAATTCTAGGTTTATAACATCTGTTAAATTCCTTTGTGTCAGATCAGTATCTTTCTTATGGCAAGCTCTAAAAATAACATTTTATAATTTACATTCAATTTTTATTATACTTAATCTGACAGTTGTAGAGATAACTATTTATTATTATTATTATTATTATTTTAAAAGAATTTTTTAAGTTTTGACACAATAGCCAGCCATCTTAAATTATTAAGGCCCGATTTAACATCTAGCATGTGTATCATGTTGATGTTAAGTATGGTTTCTATGCATTTTAAAATAATCCCATTCTTCATTTATATGCCAGTCTTAATGTTTACATTTTCATTGGAAAACTTCTTAGAAGTCTTGTAATTTAAATGTATGTAGCATCTTATGTATGTAGCATTTAAATGTATGTAGCCTCAGAAGCAGCAATGTCTTTAGAGTTTTAATTCTTCAAGACTATAAATGTCACATCAAATTAAAATTACAACAATGATCAGATTGAAAATTATTTGTCTTTAAAGAAGGAGTTCACATCAAATGTTGATTGAGGTGAGATATCGTGTTATTTTGAAGCAGTTGGTTGTTTCACTACAGCAAGCTAAAATGCAAAGCTATAATTTTTATTAAAAAGCTTATTGTTTTTCATCTCTCTTTTCTTCAAATTTGACAACCTGAAACTTTATTTAGTGCTAAATTTTAAGGTGGGTCATTCTTTTAGAAATTCCCTAATTGGTTAAAATCAATCATATTAGCACTTAATACTAATAGAATATTTAACAAATAAATAATCACAAAATAGGGATTTGATTGACTGTATTAGAGGGAATCATAGGCCCACGAATAATGACATTTTCTGAAACTTTATATATATATGACAAATAAGCATTACTGTATACATAGCCTGATTATATGGCATTTAAATAACCAGAATATCATAAGAAGTTTGTTTTGGTTTAATGTAAATTCAGTTAATTCTTGATCAGCCGCTTTAATTTTTGTAAGGGAGTATATAAGTTTTAATTTTTTCCTTGCATTTAAAAAAAGTAATTAATGTTTGGGATTGCATGAAGTGGAGTATTTTCAAAGTTAACAGGATCCGGCCATCAACAAAAGCCATGACTTATTATTTTAAGACTATATTTCTGAATAAATATAGCCTGAAATAAATATAGTTTCTATGCCTTTTAAAATAATCTCATTCTTCCTTTATGTACCCGTCTTAGTGCTTGCATTTTTATTGGAAAACTTCCTAGAAGTCTTTTAATTTAAATGTATGTATCATCTTTAGTGCCTCAGTCTGTATGCTTTGTGCAGATTCAGTTTTCATAGCTGTAAATTTGATTAATAGCTACAGCTATGAGAAGAACCGTGGCGATGTAACATGAAAAATTATAAGTGATTTAAGATTTTAAAATTCTATATCTATAATCTGTCTCTCTTGTAAGGCATCTCTGTTAAATTTCATATTTGGCAGGATTTCTTATGTAATTTTAAATGTAGACTTTTAAAGTTCAAGTTGGTAACAAATAAGATGATTGATTTTGTAATTCAAGAGCAGAAACTTTCCCAATTAATTTGGATTTTTTAACTTGAATTTTGTTTTTATACGCTCAACTATATGGAATTTTCATGTATCTAGAATTTGACATTTCCAAAATTTTCGGGATAATCGAGCTTTTACTGTATTTAAAATGTTTATGTTTTTTCAGATTTTATTTTTTTAGTTTGTTTTAAAAATTGTTGTTTTATAGTGAATTAATTTGATTGCTTCTTAAATCTTCCTGATTTAATTTCTTTTGTTATAAGTGAATTCTTAAAATTTGTTGTATATTTTAAAGAAAACATTAATGCATTATTTGATTTATACTTATGCTCCAAATGTTCTCAATTTTTTAGGTTACTCTTAATTACAGACCTGTTATTGATGAAACTCTAGATGAAAAGGAGTGCAAACAAGTTCCACCTGCCCTCCGTGTTTATTAAGGAGTAGTCGGTACATTCTTCTCTCCGCACAGTTTGCACTGAAGAATTAAATATGTGCTTTGTGATACAAAGTTGAACTTTGAGGTTTAATTCATTTTTAGATCTGAAGATACTAAGTCAGTACCTAGGCTTTTACATTTTGGAACTAATTCTGCTGTGGACTAGTTGCACCTTGTGCCCATTTTGCTTTTAGGAGGAGGAGAAAAAATAAAAATTATACACTTGTTAAATTTATAATTTTATATCTTTTTCTTTTTTAACCGTGTCATATTTCACACACAAAATAGTTTACATTTTTACTATAAGATCCAGTAGTGATTGCTGTCATGTCTTGTATATAGATAATGAGACTCAAATTAACTTTTCATTTATTTACAACACACAGGCAGTGTAGGTTATATACACTTTATACAAATAAAAAATATATTAATTAGAGCAGAATTGCTGATTATATAATTACAACATTGAACATTCAGCCTATCCTGCCAAAAGTCAGTCTCCAAGTAACTCTTTTCCTCCACCTAGAGGGTGCTACTTACTTTTAGGATTAAAGTTTAGGAGGACCAGGCACTTCACTTTCCTTCTAAGATATTGGTTAGGCAGGATTCAAACTCCATACAGTAGCATATGCTTCTCACTCAATAGCAGACTATGCTTTCTGAACTTGAGTTAACTTCTGGCTTACATACACGTAGGCTATCAAGTAAATGTGTTCATTGAAATTTTGACATAAACATGCTGCAACTCCTAAGAGGCATCACAATGTATAATGAATGGTTGCCCCAAAACTGGTGTTTATAATGATGAAGCTTTCATCAGAGGATTCTCGTTCTGAGTCTGCCCCTCTCAGAATTTCATTACATCATTATAATGACATTTTCAAAAATCTGTATTGGAATTGCACTTAATACATGTTGATATATGAATCTTCTTTTGTATGAGAGAGGAATATTTATATCAGGCCAATTTCACCATATGTAGTCTAAACACTTTTCTATTTCACCTGGCTTAAATCCAGGGAAATGATGGGATGCAAGAATGCTTTTTTGTTTTTGTTCATGTGTAATGAAAATACAAACCGGTTTCCCTTAGAAAGTCATTCACGAATACCTTCACCTGTCTTACTTTAATGAATTAACTAAATCAAATCTAAAATTTGTGCAAATATTAACTTAAATTATTCTGTATTTAAAATGGGATAGGAAAATCAAGAGTATCATATTTTGCATAATTTTCAGTTGGTTATTATTATTGTCACCTGATTTACTATAATGCTTCACATTTATGTAAGCCATAAAGCAATGTGTAATTACGATGGCTTGAAAATAATGACAGCAAGTCAATTTAAAATTTTTATACATACCTTGTTTACATAAAATTTAAAATAACAAAGAACAGAAAAGGTAAATAGGGTGCTGTAGTCAAGTACTGTAACTGTATGTAAGGGTGTACTCTTACTACAGTGGTTAACATATATTCAAATTAAGATACAATAACACGCTGAACAAATATTAAGAAGTCAAACAACAAAAATCAGTGTTATATTTTCAAATTTTCACAGGACTAGTTTCGATGGTTTTACCAAACCATCATCCTCAGTTGCAAAAGCGCAAAATTTTGTTTGACTTCTAAATATATTCAAATCCCAAATGTACGGGTTTTACCATGGTTTTCCATATTCGTGATGTAAATACAAATCAGTTCCACTTCAGAGTACTTCATAAAGACATCTTTTCCTAAAGCAAATAGCCTGCATATACTTTGAATGCCATCATATGAATTGGGCAAACAAACAAACATAACAGAGGAATTATCACTTTCTGCACTAATGTGCAAAACTTAGCAAAAAATTCATTTTTCAACATGCAACCATGAAATTGTTGAAAAGGGCTTTTTGCTATTAGTACAATGAAAATTCAACTCCGTAGAAAGGTGATACACATGCAAATATCATTGTGGTATCAGATTGTAGGTTAGCGCAAAACGTGAGGAAACGGCACGCTGAGTGCAAGTCAACTTAAAAGAAAATGGTGAATTTACAGGCACTTCTCTACAAGTGATAGTCAGATTGTATGTGCAGTATGTGCTACGAGAAAACACCTTTGCTCGTCATTTATTAGCAGGTTTGAGTTTGATGTCTGTCACGTAAGTTTGGTATTGATCAGAGTGCTGTTTGACGAGCTTATAAAGTGCAGGTATATCAATTTATGACATTACTAACATTTCATACGAGAGATAGACAGGATTAAAGATCACTTTTAAAGACACAGACTTGTTTCAGCTCAAACAGCGTATTTTCAGACTTTATGCCTACAGAATTCATCAAAATACCAGAGAAGAAATAGGTAATCACATGCAGCAGGTCACAGGAAACCTACAAATCTCTACTGCACAACAATGAACCCTTTGCACTCAAGAGGTGACTCACAGTCTCCACTTGATTTGATGCGTTAACGCGAGAGGTGATTCTCGATCACCATTCGAGTTAATGCAGTAATGATATTTATTTAGGTTTGGTTTGGGCAATATCGCTTCATAACTATATCCGACAGTACATGCATATAAAATAACTGCCAGTCTTTACTCTTAAATAGGCCTTTTTAAGTTTATTGTTATGCATGCGCCTTCAACATTAGTTCGAACTCTACAGGCGTGGCAATAAGAATATTATTTTCAAAGTTAGAGAACCCAATAGGCATGGAATAGGATGAAGAAATCACTTTAAGTGATTATGAATTCGATTTTTTTGTTGATAAAGAATGAAATTACGTGTATGCGTAGACCACATGACGATAGAGAGAAGCAGTGCTGAAGTAAGAAGTGTAAGAAGGTGAAAATTCGATGTAATAGAATAGTGAAAATGAAAGCGGTAGAAAAGAGAGAAAATTCAGAATGGATAATATGCACAGAAACCGAAGAAATACCACAAAGAATACCGTTTGTATCCCGTGAAATAACCACAAGATCACAAGTATATTCAGACATAAAAGAACCATTCTATTTCTTTCAATTGTGTGTGAAATAACTTTAAATTATGTGTAAGAAATTAACAAAGCATGTGGAAAACCGTCTCGAGTTGCTGATTCGTCCCAGCGAAAAAGGCCTCGAGTGCAAATGGTCGAAGAAAAGAGAAGCACAAACCACAAAGACACCACTCGGCCCCGGTGGACAGGAGATCTAACAGTCTGTGCATTTCCAGAGGCAATCAGAGAAGAAGGAAGCAGTCCAGGGTCAGGTATAAAATCAAAACCGCCAAATAGAGGAAATAAATCTTAAAAGAGAAAGGACGTTCATGGGAAGCAATATGGGATAGTGTCACAATAAATTTTACCTTAAACACATACTTTGGCTTAGTTAAATATGGAGTATGATCTTCCCTAGTAGCGATGCTGTCAATTATGCAGTCTATCAATTCCGTAGGAAGTGAGAGCTATTGCTCTTGCAAAACAGGTGCAAGTGTGGCAAGAGTCTAAAGAGGAGGACTGAGAGCAGTTATATGTCTTTCCTAAAACATCCCAACTCGATAGGATTCAGGTCCGGTGATCGAACTGACCACTCCATACGCTGAAATATTTTTGCTGAAGATAATCATCCATGATACGAGCCCTGTGCGGTTGTCATGTACCAGGAAATTATCACCTATTGCCCCACCATAAGGGCACACATAAGCATCAATGATGTCTTCTCTACAGCCCTGAGCATTCATGGTTCCACGTGGAAAGAAGTAGAAGTCTGTGCATCCAACCAAAGAGGATACCACCCGAAATGCAGACACTGTCTCCTCCGTATGTATCTCTTTTACGTATGTTTGATAGATAACAGGTTCCAAGTTCTCTCCAAATTAAATAACGCCTACTATCGCTTTAGAGGCTAAACCTGGACTCATCCGTAAAAAGAGCAGTCCTCCATTGACAGCTATCCAGTGGACATTTTGACCTCATATGTTCCCTTCTATGACGTGGCGTGAGCGGCAAGCAAATGTCTGATCGCCTTGCGCACAGACCACCTTCATGAAGTCTTCTACGCACGGTTAACATTGACTGCAACTTTCCAGTGGCTGCATCAAGGAATGATCCGAGTCGAGTCGGAATTTCGGCATCTTGGCCGGGGCAGTAGGTGATAATTTCCTGCTACATGTCAACCGCACAGGGCTCGTATCGTGGATGATTATCTTCAGCAAAAATATTTCAGCGCATGGAGTGGTCAGTTCAATCACCGGACCTGAATCCTATCGAGCACGTTTGGGATGTTTTAGGAAGTGGGATGTTTTTGTTGCACATAACAACAAATATCGTTCATCAGCGGTTGGATGTTCTTGGCTGAGCCTTCTGGATGCTGAATTTGTCATTCGAAATTGTTGTCAAAGTCTATGAACCACAGAAGGTCTCATTATTTAACCATCTGGTCACTTCTGTCTGACTCATAATAGCTCTCCATCGCAGCTGTTTGGGCAAATAATGCCTGGAGATCATTGTTACAAATTGGCTATTCGAGATTTTTTATCTGAGTATCACAGGGAAATTTGCAGGCTTGCTCTAAAAACATGCAATTTTAAGACCCTCGCAGATGATGTATTTCGATTGTAGCGCAACTAATGTGCATACTGCAGTTGTACTCAATAATTCTTATTTGGCAGTATATTCAAATTTTATATTATCTTGGCTTATTTTGGAACGAGTTATCGCTATTTTTGTATTTTTTTCTTAATTTTTGGTAGCCAGTGTAATTATTGTACACTATTGTGCATCAATCAATTAATCAACTAAAATTCTGTTAAATTTATCTTATTATTAGCGTGTTGCCAAATTATTAAACGTGTATCGCACCGAGAAAAGGTTGAGATTCACTGCTTTAAGCATTGCATTGCGCCTCTGTGCTATGCATTTCATGGCTCCCAGATGATTTTTTGCAGAATTATGGCTAAAATCAGGAAATTGCTTAAGTTTTGCACATTACAGAGTTTAATTTTTTAAGTCACTATATTTCTGTACGCTAAACGACTTTTAGTTTAAATCTTTTAAAGATAAATCACGAATTAAGTTTAGTGCAAGCATACTGAAATTTGAAAGCTGATGTTAGGACAATTTTAATATTGGCAGTTATTATTGGCAGTACAAGAAAAAATTCAACGAAAAAAAATGTACTTTAAAAATGTACTTAATGTAACTTATTCAATTGGTTAAAAAAACTGCGAAACTGGTTACTCTCTTTATAAAATATTAATTCAGTAATAAAGT